TTCTGTAACGTTTATGTAGGACAGATACATGTTTCTTGAGGACTTTATTTACACACACACCCCCTGTTAAGTCATGTGGGCCAGGTGCTTTTTTAGAGGCAAATCTTGTAGGATCTTTTAATGTCTTCTCCCGTTATTACACCATAGGATCTTCTACTCCTCTGTGAGCTTATTTTGGGAAACTATATTTTGTAGAGCAGAGGCTGGAAAACTATATCCTGCAGGCCGAATCTGGCCCACTGCCTGCTTCTTGATGTGAAGTTTTGTTGGGACACAATCATACCCATTCATTTGCGTGCTGTCTGTAGCTGTTGTATGTGCTACAGCAGCACGTTGAGTAGTTGTAGCAGAGACTGTATGGCCTGGAAAGGCTAAAATGTTTACTATCTGGCCCTCTACAGAAAAGGTTTGCCAAGGCATTAGTTGGGTGTTCTGTTTTATTGGTGTATATTACACATAGTATCTTGTCTTTACAGTCTCTCTATATATGAAGTTATGTGTTTTTCCCCCAGTACTATTTCTATTTCTTGTTTTATTTCCCCCATTGTTTGGGATGACTAAAATTTTGTCTGATGTATTAGTGTTAGTGTTGGTATTCGATCTTATGCTGTGCCCTACAACAATTTGAATAGCTTTTGATTTAGAGATATGTTTTGTAACAGTGTGCTAGCTTTTTAAAAAATGAAGTATGCATGGTAGTTTTGATCAAACTATCTGATCCTGATAGATGGTTTAATAATTTCATTTCTTTTGTGCTAATTAGTCTATTTTTTCTGCCTCTTCTGGAATCTTGTGGTAAATAATTCCCTCCTCCAGTTTTTCTAATTATTTATAAGTTGAGCCTAAAGAAATATCTTAATTTTAGAAATCATCTCATTTTTTACATTTTTAAAAAATTAGGTTAACTGATTGTTTACTTTTTTCATAGAATCATGCCTTGGATTTATTGGTTCACTGTTTTGCATTTCAAAAAATTTACTGAATCAACAGTGTAAAATATTTCAGATCAAAATGTAAAATTATAGCATATATTGTTTATAGTCTTTTAAAAATATTTGTGTCATATATTTAAATCTTTATTTGCTTATTGATTCACATTTAAAGTAATTGGTTTCTGTTTTTATCTTTACTGATTTCTTACCTCTTCTTTTTGTTGGATTTTTAACTTGAGTTTTTTTCTTCACATTCTCATTCCCTGGTTTAGTCATGTCTTAAAATTTATTGTGTGTATGTTTTCATGATTTTTTTTTTTGATAGCTCTAGAGTCCTGGTATTTATTTCCTCTTCAACTCAAGATTTATTTGAATAAGGCAGTTTTAGTTGCTAGTTTTTCTAGTGTGATTACATTGTAGTCCAGAAGTATCATCTGTATTATTCCTACGTTTTGTAATTCATTGATATTTTCTTCAGTGCTGAATGGTATGTGTATGCACTTCCTATTTCATGAGTAATTGTCAGAAAAGGTGTTAACCTGATTTCAAGGTGTATGGTTTTGCCTTTTTTTTTTCCAGTTTTTCTTTTCTGTCTCCACTTGGTTTACATGTTTTGATATTAAGATTTGATATATAAAGGTTCTTAGCGCGTTATTTCTTTTTAGTTGGTTTCTTTATCAACATGCAGGATCTTTATAATGCTTTCCCTTTGAATTTTAAAAGTCTGCTTTCATCTAAATTTTGTTAGCACTTCTTGTTAGTGTATCTGTCTCTGTACTTTTTTCCACCGGTTTTCCTGAATTGTTTTGTTTCAGGAGTGATTTTTGCAAAGTGTATTCCTTAAGTTTGTTTTTTCTTTTCTTAACCCTTTTTATGGTCTTTATTAACTAGTTAATTTAACCATTCACATTTTTATTGTGATTACAGATATTTTGAGGCTTATGCTTGGCATTTCATTTTATATTTCATGTTAAGCACAATTTTAAAATAATTCTCTTTATTGCATTTTCTGTGTCTGTTGAATGGTTTTGTCAATTTTCCCTCTTCTAATGGTTTACATATTTACTGACATAATTAATCTAAACTTTACACATAGACAGTAGCCAAAATTACTCATGTTTATTTCTGTTACCCAGCAGCTCCACCCATACCCTGGCACACCTACATGCACTGTTAGCTCCTTTATTCTTTACTGAGACATCCCATGTTTACATCTGAGATTTTACTTCGGATTATTTAGTTTTATAATCAGTAGTTACGTCTCAATGTTTTTTGCTGAGGTCACTGAAGTTTTCTGGCCCTAGAGACTAGTATCTATCATTTCAGCCTCTTTTTCTCTATGGCACTTTATTAATGAAAAATACAGGAGTTGTTTGAATTTTTGAGGTAAGTGTGGGGTTGCTGGGTGACCAGTGTAATACTGCTTCTGAATTCCTACTCACTTCTACAGTAGTGTTAGGGTTCTTGTACATGTCTTCATGTAAGTTATCTTCTACTTTCTTGAATGTATTAAAGATTACTTCCCTGTTGCTATCTCACATAAATAGCATCTTGTTTGGGTATTAAATTGTTGTCACAGTCTTTTCCCTTTAGGAATAAAGTGGTGGACAAACTTACTTTTTAGCAGTGGGTCACTGTAAAACTTTAAGGTTACATTCAATTGCCAGATACCATACTGAGCTCAATACTAGGCATGTAAAAGCGGATTTAAGACTTTTTATGTGCCTTATAATATAATTAATATATATTAGATCCTCTTGGTTTCAGATATATTTTAGAATATTCTAGTTCCTTATTTTCCTCACGAAAAAGGGATGTACATTATTGTTAATATTCTAAGAGCATTAACTTGTCTAGTAGACAAAATTTTCATACATCAAGTAATCAGACTTAGAATACACTGGGCCAAAATTGTTAATAAGAGGCTTTTCAGTCATCAAGAATAGATGGAGTTTGAAGCAATAGTTGGAATATTTGTAATCTAAGGAATTCCTCCTGAACTACACAGTTTTTTTGTATTACTTTAGAAAAGTCAAAGTCAGATTTTTAAAAAATAAGAGGTCAAGATCATATATTAGTGTAATAATCAGTAATATAAACTAAATCCTCCAGCTGTTCAGAGAAAGAAGACAATAGTGAGGCTAGACCATTGAATGAGAGGCAGCTGTAGATCTGAGGGCTTGTAAGAGGAAGTTGAGTGACTTGGAAACAGTCTAGATAACCAGTACTTTATCACAGAATCATATACATTGTAGGCATTTGATGAATATTTCTTTTATTTGGGCTGCAGTAATGGCTTCTGTTTACTGAGTGTTTACATTATGCTAGGTATTAGACCAACACTGTCTATATCATATAGACAAGGAAAAAGATACAGAAATAACCTAGCTCGTGAGTGGTGAGGCTGTTTTAGTTTTAGGCCTGTTGCTCTTAACTCTTCAAGTTTTCTCAGTGTCCTCACCAATCACATGGAGATGAATCACTGTTTATTTGACAGTGGCATCTGCAAAGCTGATTAAATTGCTACAAAAATATAAAGTGGTATTGTGCCAGTCATTAAAAAATAGACACTAGGTATAGGCATTTTATTGCAGATTTGGTTCCAAGCCACTGCGATAAAGTAAATATTGCAATAAAGCAAGTCACAAATTTTTTGGTTTCCTAGTACATATAAAAGTTTTGCTTACTCTGTCCTATAGTCTAAGATATTTAGTAGTATTATATCTTTAAAAAGTTTTCATACCTTAATTTAAAAATAATTTATTGCTTTAAAAGTGCTAATCATTAGCTGAGCCATTGCGGGTCCCAATCTTTTTGCAGCAGTAACATCGAAGATCACTGATCTTAGTTCATCATAACAAATATAATAATAATGAAAAAGTTGGAAATACTGTGAGAATGACCAAAGGGTGAAACAGACTGACAAAGTGAGCAGATGCTGTTGGAAAAAAAATACTGCCAAGAGACTTGCTTGATGCAGGGTTGCCACACACTTTTCGTACAAACATGCAGTATCTTCGAAGTGTGATAAAGCAAAGCACAGTAAACCAGGGTATGCTGCCTCGCCTTATGTTTGGTGCTCTGTAAACATTATTACCATACTCAACCTTAGGATAGCTCTGTGAGGAATAGGTGTTACGCTGTTTCACAGAGACCACCACAGGCTTGGGTTTATACAGCTTGTCCAGGGACACAGAGTTTTTTAAAGGCAGCACTGGGATTGAAACCTGGATCTATCTGGCACTGAAAGTTCATAGACCATGCTGCCTCTCTGTAATTTTAGAGATTGGGTATATTTTCCCTGGCTTAGAGTATTTCTACCAGTTTACTTATTTAATCTCTTTTAGGAGTCCAGAAATTCACTGTAGTTTCCAGCTGTTTGTACAGTAGACAGATTGTTGTTTCTCCAATTTGCTTAAGCCAGCATATTCAAATTATTTCTCTAGTTTAGGTCAGTCTCACAGATTTCATCGTATGATCTTTGTATTTTGTCCCTCTTCTGAATTTTTCTTATTTGATTCAGATTTTACATTTTGATAACAAAAAACAGTGTTAACTTTGTCTTTCTGTAAGAGAACTAGCAAGATTCTTTTCTGCCCTTGCTCTTGTACTGTCTTTCAAAGATGAGAGCTAGGGGTCAAACACATTAGGAATGAGGCAGATTCAGAACAGTCACACGGGACTTGAGGATTCTTTAGGGACTACCAAAACTTTGTCATCTTTGTTCTTTCAGTTACTGTGAGTTAGAGAGTTGTATGATCAGTGCTTGTTCTCTAATCAGAGATAACAAGGGGGAGAGGTGGTGAGCTGAGCTGTCATCCAAGACAGGGAATGCTGATAGCTGTCCATTCCTTTATCGGATAGGTAGTTAGCTGAAGTCAAAATCTGATGCTTGGCAGTGATCCTTCCCAAGAAAACTTGAGCCCGTGAATGAAGATACCCCTGCAAACATAAAGAGCCTGTTCCTTTAGGATTGTTTTCCTTGGGGCCTTTTTGCTTAGATGGCTTGCAATGGAGGTACACTTTACTGGCTAATCTTTTCCACCCCTTTTCTTTTGTTGGGATTAGTGCCAGAACAGATAAAGCCCAGTGTAAGCCAGCCTCAGCCTGCCAACTCTAATAACGGCACTTCCACAGCAACCAGCACTAATAATAATGCCAAGCGAGCCACAGCCAACAATCAGCAGCCGCAGCAGCAACAGCCGCAGCAGCAGCAGCAGCAACCGCAGCAGCAGCAGCCGCAGCCGCAGCCGCCACCACAGGCCTTGCCTCGGTATCCCCGGGAAGTACCACCTCGATTTCGCCACCAGGAACATAAGCAGCTTCTAAAGAGGGGTCAGCATTTTCCCGTCATAGCAGCAAACCTGGGATCTGCTGTTAAAGTGTTAAGCAGCCAGTCAGAAAGCAGTGCTTTAACAAATCAACAGCCACAAAATAACGGAGAGGTGCAGATCAGCAAAAACCAGTCAGGTGAGAGAAGGCATTTCTTACGAGACTCCAACTATCATCGTTAGCAGTGTAGCAAGTTTATAAATTCATGCCTATTTGGTGATGTATTTGTATTCATCAATATCTGGGTTGTAAAGTAAGAATTCTATGCAGGAACTTGTGAATGGGGAATCTTAAAATGTTTTCTGTAAGTTAACTATCACTCTCCCTTCAGATCTTAATCCATTTTAGTAAACGGCTTATAAGTTACATGCTAACCAGTTGTGCATATTAACTGCATTTAATCCTCAACAACCCTGTGAGGTGTCAGCAGTTCTTACCTCTGCTTTTCAGTAGAGGAAACTGAGGCACCAAGACAAGAATGACTTGAGATCAGTTACCACGTACCGTAAAAAAAGACCACCACCCATGAAAGTTCTGTTCGGAGCACATGCATTTGGTTATTATCCCAGAATGGCTTTTCTCAGCTCATTAATGATGGTGAGGCAGAAAATAAGTCCAGTATGTGATTACAGTCTTCATAGAGTCCAGTTTATTTCCCTGTGTTCTGATAATTGGTTTGTCCATTCATTTATTGAACTGTTTTGATGCTTTTATCCCAAGCCATGTAGAGAATTGAGGATAATCAAGGTTCCCACACATGAAAGCAGTAGCAGACCAGTAAGCAGCCCGAGTCTCTGGAGCCAAATGGACCTGGTTTTTTAAGTCCTGGTTCCACAATATACCAGCATGTGACTGTAGCAGGTCACTTAATTGCTCCGTGTGTCTGAGTCTCATCTGAGTAGCCTTTCCTAACTGTCCCAGGTAGAGGTGCTCACTTTCTGCCTCTGTGCTCTCTCCCGTACCAGGACCTGCTCTGTGCTTTATCATCCAGTATTTCACAGCTAATTAGTAGCAGAGCCTGCACTCACACTGAGGTCTGTCTGACTCCAAAGCTGTGCCCGTAGCAACCATGTGGTGCTTTGGCAGCCTACTGGCTGTGGTAGGTGAGGAGGCAGAGGACACACGTGTGATTTTCTGGCATAGGTAATGAGAGAAGCAAGTTATTGGAAAGGATACAAACTTAAATCATCAGCCTGAGTTAATACTTACCCCTACACACTTACCACTGTGTAAGCTTGGCCAAATGACTTATCAGACGGTCTTTGCTAATCTGTGAAGTGTAGTGCCCGGTCTATAAGGTTGCCTTGAGGATTATGCTATGTGACATGTTAAAGCAGCTAGTTTAGGGTCAGATATTTAGGCACTGAATGAATTATCTTCCCTGAGACTTTTCTAGAAGGACCTGTGCTTTTCAGGAGGAAGAGTCTGGTTGAGACATGTTACATCTGATGCCAAGCAATTAATTTGATTTGAAGTTCCTCTAAGAAGTCAGGTTGGAAGCAGTTGTATTGAGTCATCAGCGTCATTGTGGTTAAGACTTCGGAGAGATTATTTATGCAGCAAATTCTTGAGTACCTACTGCAGGCTAAGCAATGGTGGCATATTTAACAAACAGGAAAGTGGGATAGTAACTTTAGGAAATACATGTTGAATATGATTTTTTCAGTTGGGGGCATGAAAGAGCAAAGCCGTTTTTGAAGTGGAAACAATGGGAGTACAAGAATTTTCTCAAAGATTGATATGGGTCAAGAAACCCAAAAGTGTTATGGGTGTACATTCAGGTGAAAAGAAGCCTAAGATGTGGACATAGGAAGAAGTCTTCAAAAAAGGGGGGCTGAGAAGGAAAGATACCCCACCTGTTTCTAAAACAAGTTCACAAAGGTGGACAATAATGTGGAGACTAAGATGGAAACGAGACGGGTACAGCAATCTGACTAAAATTTAGAATTAAATCCCCAAACAGAGAATGCAGAAGATGCAAGCAAAGCATTCTTCAAGAGAACCAGACTTGTGCTTTTGTCTTTTTTAAACATTTGTGAATTCCCTTTTACCAGCATAGTTTCATATTTATGTTAAAATATTTTTTGTAGGCGCTGCTAGAAATGATAATAGAAACATAATGGAGCATTGGGTATCTGTTTATTAGAGAGGATTTCTTATCAGTCCTGGCTCCTGAAGGGCTTATAATAAATAATAGTGACAGTAATAATATAGTGACTAGCCCTTACGGGATGCTTGTGACCCACACACTGTTTTAACATGTTTAATTTTCATTTTACAGATTAGAAAATAGCCTAGTGATCAATGAAGAGCAGTGTACTGGACAGTATAAATAGCATGAACGACAGCCCAGAAACCTGATAATTGCGTTTTGTGAAATTATATGTAGTTCAGAAATGTGGGAACGCATCCTTAACTGTCTTTGTCTATTTGTATTTGACCTTTTTAGTTTTCTGACCAGAGAGAGGTGATGGAGTAGATTTGACATTTAAATTGATATATACAGTAGCACACAGAAATTTACTTAAAAGTTTGCATAGTAAAGATGAGGAGTGCTGGATACACTTGCCTTGGCTTCATGGAATGCATTTCTCATTTATTCACTGCAGTGAAGAGGAGGGCTAGTGCCTAATCTAAATTAGAGGTCACACAACTAAACCCTTCATAGGCTTACAGGTAAGTAGAGTGAAGGATGAAAAGAAGTCACGGGAACTGTGGTCAATGTATTAATTTTAAGTTTCTTTTGAGCCGTGTGCTGGTCAAACCACACAGCTCTGCAGGTGGAGTTGCCATTTGTGGCTGTGCCACGCACACTTAGTGACGGTTTCAGTCATCACTCTCTCGTGGTTGATTTCTTAAAGCCTTAAGGTGTAAGACCCTACCACTCCCCAAATAACCCTTGAATCTGGCGGGACTAATGTGCTTTACCAGGGCTGGTGGCAGTGTTGTTCTTGTGGGTCAGAGTGTCCCAGGTCACATTTTACCATCAGCTGACATGACACATTCAGAAAAATTAAATATATCAATAAACACCCATGTACCCTCCACTCAAATCCAGCTTTTGTTAGTACATTGTATGTATGTACACATGCACACATGTGCCTTAGTTTCTGCACTTCACCTTTATTACTTCTCCAGACAATTTTTTAAAGAATAGGGTAGTCTTCTATACAGTTGTGACACCACAGTCACCCTTAAGCAAAAGAGGGATATTTTCAGCAGTATCCTGTGATATGTAGTTTGTATTCAGAATTTTGCAGATGGTACCAAGAATGTGTTTTAGTTTATAGTGAGATTCAGCTTAGCACACATACATGCCATTTATATAAAATATAAAGCTTGCAAAACAGCATTATGCCTTGCATATGAATGAATTCAAATATAGCATTTTGTTTGGTTACTACTCAGTTACCTACTGTGGGAGAAATGAGATATAATCAAGAGAAAGTACACAGGAGTTCTATTATGTTAGTAGTATATTTCCTAAATTGAGGGGTATGTGAGTGTTTTTGTAATAATGCTATAGATTTTCCTGTGTTTCTTTCTTACTTTTTAAGAAACTTAAATGTGAAGTATAATGGTGAATTACTAAAAATTGGGGCTGTTTTAATGAAAAACTGTTAATATTAAAATTACCGGAAATGTTTAAAGGTTAAAATACTGTCCATCTACCTGTGCTCAAATGTCTTTTTTTAGTGCAATAAATGTACATCCTTGCTGTCCTGTGACTTCTTGCTCTAAGCGTGTCCCATGGTCTGTAAACATATTTAAGTCTTTATAATCTTTAAAAGAAATTCCTCTAATCTCCCATTCTCTTGGGATTATTGTAGAATTTCTCTCTACTTGCTTTTAGAGTTCTTAAAAAAATAATCTATCCTTGGACTCTCTAATACATTGCTTCAGTCCTCTGTCATCTGGCTTCTGCTCACTTGATTAAAATAGCTCTTGCTAAGGTCACTGATCTGAATGCCAAATCCAGACTTTTTTATTTTTAATTGTGGTTTAAAAAGCAGACTTACCAAAAAACCAGACTTACCCATTTTTATCTTAATAGATATCTACATTTTTTTAAAAATCATTGACCACATTCTCCTTTTTAAAGCCCTTTCATTCCTTCATTTTCCTTTGACCAGTTTGCAGACTTTATTCCCTCCCATGGCTTTGTTTCATCTCCCCAGTTTTAGGTTTCATGTCTTCTGGATGTCTAGAGCTGATGTTGGGCCCTTCAGACTCAACATGTTCAAAGTTGAACTCAATTATCTTGCCACATACTGGTTTTTCATTCTGGATCCCATTGCTTGAAAGGTTGGCACCCCCATTCATCCACTCACTTGCCCAGAAATCTTAAAATCATACTTCAGTCTCCCTCTTCTTCATGTCTCACAGGCCACTGGTTTACCATGCCCAGCTGGCTTTAAGTCCAGAACAGCTCTTGGCTTTGCTGCCACCACTGACTCAGTTCAGACACGCAGCATCTAGTCTAGAGCAGCAGCCCTGGGAGTGTCTTCTGTAGCTGTGTCCCACCATCCTCTCCCCATCTCTCAGACCAGAAACCAGTCAAAATCCCTGCATTGCATCTGGTTGTGGTACTGCTTTTGTCTTTAACCATCTTTAACCTAGGCTCTCAGGCTGTTTTTCCGGAAGGCTGCTGCCCCTATTCATTTACATGTTACCTGTGGCTGCTTTCCAGCCGCTGTGGTAGAGCAGTCACCACAGAGACTCTCTGGCTGGCAGAACCTAAAGTATTTGTTAATTGGACCTGCGCAGAAAACCTTTGCCAGCCCCTGGACTCCAGATTAGAATAACTAAGGAAAACATTTTTCATTTTCTCACTCAAGTGCTATTTGAAATTGTGCCTCAAGTTCTCTCATATTCCAAATGATAACATTTCATACTTCCTGAAAATGCTGTAAGGCCTTTCTTTCTGGTGAGATTGAAAGTCTTTAAGGCAGAAAGCATATGTTTGGCTATTTCATTTGTTACATGAAACATATTTAACTTAGAAAAATGTATGAATTTTCCTGGATCTAAATTCTTCATGAATGAATTATGCAGTTCCCTTGAATTCTCACCAGTCTTTGCTTTACCCCATGTATCTTCTTTCTGAATAGGTGCTGTGTAATACACTCCTTTATTCTTTTTTTTTTTTTCCTTTTGGCCATGCCTCCTGGCTTGCGGGATCTCAATTCCCCAACCAGGGATTGAACTTGGACCCTTGGTAGTGAGAAAGCAGAGTGCTAACCACTGGACTGCCTGGAATTCCCTCACACCCCACCCCCTTTTAGAAATATTGGAATGTAGTTGGTTTACAATGTGTTAGTTTCTGCTGTACAGTAAAGTGAATCAGCCGCATGTATACATATATATCCCCTCTTCCTTGCATTTCCTTCCCATTTAGGTCACCACAGAGCATCAGTTATCTATTTTATACATGTAATATACGTATGCCAATCCCAGGCCTCCCTTTCCCCTTTGTATCCATATGTTTGTTCTCTAAGTCTGTGTCTCTATTTCTGTTTTGCAAGTAAGTTCATCTATACTATTTTTCTAGGTTCCGCATAGCCTTTTTTTTTTTTTTTAAATATTCTTTTTGAGGTGTAGTACTAAAGCTGCCCTCAGTCTTCCTATCATAATTTTGTATGAGAGTAGGGTGCTGATTTTAGATTTCAAATGTTTTTTTCTCAGTTAAATGCAGCCTTCCAAATCTTGGTTTAAATTTTGTATTTTGCTTTACACTGTGAAATTGAACCGTCCACTTTCCTCCCACCAGTACAGGGGTTTACAGTCTCACTGTTCCTCACAATTTCCTGGGAACGTGTGACTGTCATCTTCTACTTACTAATGTTGCTGTATGTTTATCTTCCAGATCATTTGTAATGATGGATTCTGGCCTCCTTGTGTGTGAGGGAAGTGTATTATTTGACTTCTTTCAATTCTGAAGTAGTCTCCGACTCTGAAATGTTTTAGTTGTGATCGCTGAGGAGTCCTGCATTTTTTATAACTGTAGTCAGGCTAATGTCTGTCCACCCCACTCCCCCTTCCCACCCCCAACCCCCCATCCCCCTGCCCCACACACACTCAGATTTTTTAATCTAAGCTGAAGTGCTTTTCATAACAAAAAGTGGTCTTTGTGACCTATCGTTGGTAAATGCAGTTTTTTGAGGTCGCCTCTTAATTTGTGTTTTGGGGAAAGTTATCACGTTATGTTCCAGATTAAAAATGGAGTTTTAGCTAGTAATTACTGATGGCATCTCTTATTTTCTTAAAATACATGGGCATACACAGCATAAGGCAGGTGTGGACCATAACTCCCTCCAAACTAGGTTATGGCCAGATTGTGAGAAAGTTTCACTACCATTAAAGACAATAGAATTGGTTTGCAAAGTGTATTCTGCTGTTTTCTGGGACGTTTTGCTTTTGATGTATTCAGACATTAAAAAAAAAAAAGAAAACAACCTTACCTTTCTTGTAAGTAACTAAGTTTTTTGCTTTTTTTTTTTAATGGTTTCTTTGCTTTTATGTATATAGAATTCTCATTCACAAATTCATGGTTCCATCTTTTAACACTTGAATCATTTGGATTTACTTTTGATAGGTCATCTTATTTAAGAAGTCTTTAAAAGTATTGAATATTCCTTTTCTTTAGGTGATTTAAAATGCTAACGTTTGGCATATAACCTTAGATAATATACTTGGGTCCATTTCTGGATTAATTTTTCTGTTCTTACATACTCTGAGAGGACAGTGCTGTTTAACTAGTGCATGATAAAAGTTTTTAAATCCGCTTATTTGTCTTATGTGAATTTAAAAATTTTTATATCTAATCAAATTACGGACTCTTGTTAGTAATTTTTTATAATTAAATTAAACTCAGAAGGAACATTGTCATATCTTCCTATTGAGGAGCAGAGTTTATATTTAATCAGGTTATCTGCTATGACCTACAATAAAATTTAATCGAATATTTTTGTTAACTTTATTTCAAAGCTTCCTTAATACTTTTTGTGGTTTCTATAATTAGGATCCTTTTCCATCCCATTTTCTTGTTGATTATTCTTGGTGCATAGGAAAACTGGCTTTTTACATGTTAACCCTTTTTGTTTCTTTTCTACTATCTTGACCTCATTTGGGGGTCATATTTCATCAGTTTGTGCTTCTAGCACAAAGTTGAGTAGTTGTATTGATGACAGATTCCTGTCTTTTCCCTGTTGTTAGGGGAATGCTGATTATGTTTCAGTGTTAAATCCCAGGTCCATTCCTTTGTTTTCAACTTGGGTAGTTTTGTCTGTCTTTCTCAGTCTTGTTTTCTAATTCCTGTTGAATGGGAAGTGGCAAGACACGCGCGCGCGTGCACACACATGCAAATACTTAGATCAGAATACTTTTGTTACAGACCATGGCTTGATTGTTTTAGGTTTGGAGAAAAGTGGAAGGTTTGGGACTTGCTGATGTTCTGAATTAGCTGTTCACAGGAAAGAATCAAGGATAAATCTTAGGTTTTAGGAAACTTACCAAGATGAAGAAAACTGGAAAAGAAGCAGGCTTGTTTTTTTCTTTTGAGAGGCGGCCCCTGTGGAGTTAACAACCTTTTTGAGATATCTAAGTAGAGATTTAAAGTAAGTACGTTGTTGTATGGTTTCTAATTTTGCTCTTTATGAGAGAGGTATGGTGGAATGAAGAACTTTGAAGATAGGACTGAAAATTATGATAATCATTGATACACGTTAATCAGTGAAAAAAATAATGTCCCTCATTTGTATCTGAATCAGATACAGTTCAGAGCAGTTTTAATTAGCCATCATTTAATCCTTACAACTGTGTGAGGTAGCTCCTGTTACTGTTCCCACTTTATAGATGAAGAATCCAAGGCACAGGAAGTTTTGAGGGTCTTACTGGTAGTCACACAGCTGGTAAATAACGGAGCGACTTTTAAACCCAAGCAGGCTGGCTTCGAAAGTTGTGCTCTGCATCACTGCACCAAACTGCCCTTCATAGAGCACTTACTTGAAGTCAACAGTGAGCTGCATACTTTACGTATGAAACTAGGTTAACTAACAGCCAGGTAAAGAAGTCCGTATGTACTGTGTGTATTCCCATCTTACTAGTTTGGTCATGCAGCTACTACACAGAGTCCAGACTTCAGTCTGGGTATCTCTAGAGTTCCAGATATGTTCTGAGCCACCCCGCTTTTTCACTTTAGGATGAATTCTGATTTCTCACCTTATTTTCTACAGCCCTTGAGCCTCCATTTCTTCATCTGTAAAGTGAAGGTAATGCCTACTCTAGGGTTGTTTCAAGGATTCAGTGACAGCATTCCATATAAAGCATGTGCTCCCGCGTGCTGAATGATATCGCCCGCAGTGCAGGCACTGGTCTGTTAGTGAGACTGATGTTTTTGTGTGCTTTATTTCCTGAGAAAAATCCTCCTCATGGGCACTGAAAGATGAAAAGCTTTCCTTGGAAGCTTTGAACTGCCAAGTAATTTTTAATTAGTGGAAGTCAGAAGCACTTAGAGAACTTCTGAGAAAAAAATATATGTTTGATGAGTAATATATACATTTTTGGTCTCTGTTTAGTCCCCCCCCCCCCCTTTTTTTTTTGCTACTCTTTCTCGCTCTTCACCTTTTGCTGCTTAGCAATTGTGCTTTGAGAAATAATGATGCATGTTGAATCTGATTTTCCACATCAGCAATACCCTCGTGGGCTTTCCCGGGTCCTCAAACAGTAAAGAATCCACCTGCAATGTGAAAGGCCTGGATTTGTCCCCTTGGTTGGGAAGATCCCCCGGAGAAGGGAACAACTACCCACTCCAGTATTTTGGCCTGGAGAAGTCCATGGACAGAGGAGCCTGGCAAGGTTACAGTCCATGGGGTTGCAAAGAGTCAGACATGATTGAGTGACTTTCACTTCACTATACCATCACAATGAGTGATATTTTACTTTCTGGGCTTATAGCACCTAGTGTCTGGGACATGACTTAAGCATATGTATTACTTACATATGATTCTGATAACTACTGTAGTAAAGAACTATAATATGAACAACCCCCTGAGGACAGTCTAACTGCCCACATCTTATCTCTGAAGATTTCTAACTTAACCAGATTTTTAAACTGAATGAGAGTGATGCATTTGGGAAAATATTAAAAGCAGTAAAATAACTAGATGATAATACATAGCAGTAAGTCTGAGTTTATAGGATTATATGACTAGTCATTAATGTCTTCGATGTCAGCAGTGGAATTTTTAATCGTAACTTTGTTCTTTAGCGTATCAACAGTTTTCTGTTGTCTTCTAATAAACATGGCTCTGAACACATTTTTATGAAGGCAATATTTCTACTTGTGTGCTCTATTTTTCAGATTGAATTTGAACACTAATGAAATGCAAATATAATGGAAAAGTCTTTATAATTCTTATAAACTTGTTATAGTACCCAAAACAGTTGTGTGAAATAGCTATTCTAAAAACATGTGGCTAGAAAAGGATTCCTAATATATTTCTCGTACATTTCACCAAGTTTGGCCTGTCCACTTGTCATTTCCCATTTGCATCCCAGCCCCTTCCTTCCTGAGGTTGGGCCTCCCAAGCCTAGGTTGCTCCATCATCCTAATAAATCATTTCTACCTTGTCCTTCCTGACTCCAAATTCTTTATTTGCTGATATGTTCGTTCATTCATTCACATATATATTGAGGAGCTACTATGTTCCAGCTACTGCTGTATGCTCTTGGAATAACATAAATGAACAAAGCAGCAAAATTCCCTGCCTAGGTGGAATTAATTATTGAATATGGAAAGTTGGTGGCTAGGATATAACCAGTGCCCTTGTAGTTATATTGCCAAGTTTTATATTTTATTGAGGAGCTATATACATTTATAATACATCCATCAACACTTGATACATTTTTGTGTTTCTTCTTTATTCTAGATATAAACCACAGTACTTCAGGATCCCATTATGAAAATTCAGAGCGGGGACCTGTGTCATCTGCAAGTGACTCTAGTCCAAACTGTAAGAATGCTGTTGTGAACGACTCCCCTGACAAAGAAGCATGGCCCTCAGTCCCTGGCAGTGATCCAGAGTTGGTTTCAGAATGTATGGATGCTGATTCTGCCTCCAGTTCTGAATCAGAGCGACACATCACTATCATGGCTTCAGGGAGTGCAGGTGGTGAAAACGATGGCCTTCGGAACAGCACTGGACTCGGATCCCAAAACAAGTTTGTGGTTGGTAGCAGCAGCAATAATGTGGGCCATGGAAGCAGCACTGGGCCGTGGGGTTTTTCCCATGGAGCCATAATAAGCACATGTCAGGTGTCTGTGGATGCTCCTGAAAGCAAATCAGAAAGTAGCAACAATAGAATGAATGCTTGGGGCACTGTAAGTTCTTCATCAAATGGAGGGTTAAATCCAAGCACTTTGAATTCAGCTAGCAACCATGGTGCCTGGCCAGTATTAGAGAACAACGGACTTGCCCTAAAAGGGCCTGTAGGGAGTGGTAGTTCTGGCATCAATATTCAGTGCAGTACCTTAGGCCAGATGCCTAACAATCAGAGTATTAACTCTAAAGTGGGTGGCGCTTCCACCCATGGTACCTGGGGAAGCCTTCAGGAAACTTGTGAATCTGAAGTAAGTGGTACACAGAAGGTTTCATTCAGTGGTCAACCTCAAAATATTACCACTGAAATGACTGGACCAAATAACACTACTAACTTTATGACCTCTAGTTTACCAAACTCCGGTTCAGTACAGAATAATGAACTGCCTAGTAATACAGGGGCCTGGCGTGTGAGCACAATGAATCATCCTCAGATACAGGCTCCCTCGGTTGTAAACGGCACTTCCCTTTCTCACCTTAGCAATGGAGAGTCAAAAAGTGGAGGCTCTTACGGTACTACATGGGGTGCCTATGGTTCTAATTACTCTGGAGACAAATGTTCAAGCCCTAATGGCCAAGCTAATGGTGACACTGTGAACGCAACTCTAATGCAGCCTGGCATAAACGGGCCTGTGGGCACTAACTTTCAAGTTAACACAAATAAAGGAGGCGGCGTGTGGGAGTCTGGAGCAGTGAATTCCCAGAGTGCATCCTGGGGAAATGGTGCAAATTCTGGAGGAAGTCGAAGAGGATGGGGAACTCCTGCACAAAACACTGGCACTAATATACCCAGCGTGGAATGGAACAAACTGCCTAGCAATCAGCATTCCAATGACAGTGCAAATGGCAACGGTAAGAAGTTTACAAACGGATGGAAATCTACTGAGGAAGAGGATCAGGGTTCTGCCACATCTCAGACAAATGAGCAAAACAGTGTGTGGGCCAAAACGGGAGGTGCAGTGGAGAGTGAAGGTAGCACAGAAAGCACTGGACGCCTCGAGGAGAAAGGGACTGGGGAAAGTCAGAGTAGAGACAGAAGGAAAATGGATCAGCACACGTTACTCCAAAGCATTGTAAACAGAACGGACTTAGATCCACGTGTCCTGTCCAACTCTGGTTGGGGACAGACTCCTATTAAGCAGAATACTGCCTGGGATACCGAAACATCACCTAGAGGGGAGAGAAAGACTGACAATGGGACGGAGGCCTGGGGAAGCTCTGCAACACAGACTTTTAACTCAGGGGCATGTGTAGATAAGACTAGCCCTAGTAGTAATGATACCTCATCTGTATCGGGGTGGGGAGATCCCAAACCTGCTCTGAGGTGGGGAGATTCCAAAGGCTCAAGCTGCCAGGGGGGATGGGAAGATGACTCTGCTGCTACAGGAATGGTCAAGAGCAATCAGTGGGGGAACTGCAAAGAAGAGAAGTCCGCATGGAATGATTCGCAAAAGAACAAACAGGGATGGGGTGATGGACAAAAGTCAAACCAAGGGTGGTCTGTCTCTGCCAGTGATAACTGGGGAGAAACTTCAAGGAGTAACCATTGGGGTGAGGCTAACAAGAAGTCTAGCTCAGGAGGTAGTGACAGTGATAGGTCTGTTTCTGGTTGGAATGAACTCGGTAAAACTAGTTCTTTTACATGGGGAAATAACATTAATCCAAATAATTCATCAGGCTGGGACGAATCTTCTAAACCGAATCCTTCCCAGGGATGGGGAGACCCTCCAAAGTCTAATCAGTCTCTAGGTTGGGGAGATTCATCAAAGCCAGTCAGTTCTCCAGACTGGAACAAGCAACAAGACATTGTCGGATCTTGGGGCATCCCGCCAGCAGCAGGCAAACCTCCTGGTACAGGCTGGCTGGGAGGACCTATGCCAGCCCCAGCGAAAGAGGAAGAACCCACGGGCTGGGAGGAGCCATCCCCAGAATCCATACGTCGCAAAATGGAGATTGACGACGGGACTTCAGCTTGGGGAGATCCCAGCAAATACAACTACAAAAATGTGAACATGTGGAACAAAAATGTCCCAAATGGCAGCAGCCGCTCAGACCAGCAAGCACAGGTACACCAGTTGCTACCGTCTGCAGGTGCCATCTCAAACAAAGAGGCAAGCAGTGGCTCCGGTAAGTTCTCCTTTTCTGGAGTCTTGATTGTTTTTCATAGTACTTCACAGTAGCAGGAGCCTTGTTTCAAACTTACTGTTTTTGGATGTGCACACAAACCTTTTTTTTTTTTTTTTTCAACTCTAATCTGGGAGAAGTTTGTAGGGAAGAAGATTATGGGGAAGGTGTTACTGTCAGGAAACGGCTCTGCCTTTGGTAGTATTGGCTGTGAATCCCACGTACTCCGTTCTCTGTCCGGAAAATTATAGAAAGCAGAATTGGAAAAGGGATGTCAAGTGGGATACTGTACACTTTCCTCATCTCAGTTCTTCTGAGTTGAGCCGTTACGTTTTGGTTTTATTATTTGACTATCCCCAGAAATAGAACAAGTATCTAAAAGTACAGTCCTCTAAAAATCTAGATACTGTAATTGGTCATAGATGGCATTTATTTAAGTAGGCATGTTGAATACCACGTGTATGTGTGTGACAGTGACATTTTTCATTAGTTGTCATTGAGATGTGCTGTCTCTTTAATGGAGGCTTCATTGAATAATAATCCTGTTGGATGTAGAGACAGAAGTGTCTTCCTGAACTAACGTTTCAGTGCCTAATTCTTTTTTCTGAGTATTATTAATTTAGATTTAATTCTTACAAGAAATGTGTATGTATCTAAGGGGAACGCTGTTGTGGTTCTTTTAAAACAATGTATATATGGCTTGGCTTTGCCTTTGTTGATTATGGTTGACTTTGGACAGCCTAATAAATTCTAAGAAGTATTGTCCAGCGTATACAAGTAGGATGCCTACCTATCGTTAGTCTTATATTAAATTACACTTTCCAGAACAGTGATGTTGAAAGGTTGTACTTACAGTAAAAGTTTTATACACATACTGTTACCCAGCTTGATCATCTGCTTTAATTCACTAGGTTCGACTCAGAATGACTTGGCTTTTCTAGGAATTAAATTCATCCTCAAAGGAGGATGACTTGCCATAATTAAGATTATTCAAAGGAATCTGCTGTGTACCTCGAGGGCAGTTCTGAAAGAAGAGGTGAAAAAGAATTATAGTTAGATTATAATAATGGAAAATTACTTGTCTTCTTTACATAAAACAGAGGCCATCCTTTTTGCCCATCACAGCATCATTATTTAATACACAAATGTGAAGGTCTTCTTTTGTTCCCTAAGTATTCCTTATTACCCCTTCAACCTGCTGATGACTTCTTTTCCCACACTTTCTAAAGGCTGGGGTGAGCCCTGGGGGGAGACTTCAACTCCAGCCACAACTGTGGATAATGGTACTTCAGCCTGGGGTAAACCCGTAGACAGTGGGCCTAGCTGGGGTGAACCCATTGCTGCGGCATCCAGCACATCCACGTGGGGTTCCAGCTCTGTTGGTCCACAAACATTAAGCAAATCTGGTAAGTTACTGATAATTCCTGGTTTCCGTTTGATAGCAGTGGTGATCTCATTGTCTGTAATTAAGTAATTGGATAACGTTTATGACGTTGATAATGTAGCCACATAGTATCGTAATTGTCAAGCAACTTTCATGCTATCCAGCACAAGAGACTGAGTATGATAGTCATGGGAACACATATCCAAGTGGTCTGGCTCAGGTACCAGACAAGTCCCTAAATACTACACAGAAAATGAACAGAGTTCAGGAAGGACCCTTAATATTCAGATAGACATTGTTACTATTCTTGTAGGGATTCCAAAGACCATGTATAGTGATGAGATACTTTCTGCTTCTGACCTGCATGCTGTACTTTTGAGCCATTCTCCTTAAAAATATGTATTAAGATGAATTTTTAAAAATTCCATGCATCCTCATGGCCCTAAGCAAATACGAACATGAATGCCACCAATGTCCCATGTTTAGGAACCCTTTGATTTGTAAAAGCATGAAAAGTGTTTTATTGAAAGTTTTACTAAAAATAAATTCTTGTTTAGCTTTTAGCTATGTATATAACATACATTTTTGCCATGCAAACCTGGGAAGGGAAATAAAAGAGGGTTTTTAGGTTGTCCCCCAGCGCTGCCCTATTAATGAGTGCTCATCCTCCAGAAAGAATTGTTTAACTATAACATGTTTCTTTTTGTCACAAATCCACAATCAGGGCCAAAATCTATGCAAGACGGCTGGTGTGGTGATGATATGCCCCTGCCTGGAAATCGCCCCACTGGCTGGGAAGAGGAAGAGGATGTAGAGATTGGAATGTGGAATAGTAATTCATCTCAAGAGCTTAATTCATCTTTAAATTGGCCACCATATACAAAGAAAATGTCTTCGAAGGTAAACATTTCAAGGGCAAAGCCCTTGAAACTTTAAATTCCAAAGGTAGTTTCCCCACAGAAGATAGTGTGCTTGCCTGCCCGTGTATGGCAGTCAGTATAGTCCAGGCAGTCCCCAACTTAGGTGGAGCTTCCTGTGGTCAGCCACCTAGAGAGACTGAGGACCCCAGGAAGGTCCTTTCTCCCCACTGCTACAGCTGGGCATCTCTCTCCTCCTCCCCCTCCGCCAGTGCTACCTGGGACAGCCCCTCACCCCAGGACGGTGCTGCAGAGGGGAGGATGAAGAGAAGGGCAAAGCTACATGTTGACGCCTCCCATCCCACTGCCAGTTCATCTCCCATTCCGCCTCCTCGCCTGGAGCCCCTAATTTCTAGTTACTGTGCTCCTTATTTGTCCCCCATCTTCGTCCCTTCTCCGCTCCGTAGGTCCTGGGATGGAAATCCCTAGGAATGAGTAGAGAGTTTGGTTTTGCTTTTATATGTGGACAAATCTTATTCCAGACCTGGGTCTGCATCAGAATTGTAAGGCATTTCTTAAAAGTATAATTTCCTATACCCTAGGCCTACTGTTGTTTTGGAAATTGGACCAAGTTTCTTGTTCTGAACAAGCTCTCCAAATGTTTCTGATGCAGAGCCAGATTTGGGAAGACTAGCGTCAGATTTTCTTGGGACCCATTTTCAAAATAAGTGCTTAGTCCCCCCAGGTGATTCTGATGTATCTTTTCCAACCTGTTTGAGAATGAATTCTTTTTGAGGGACCTTAGAAGTCAGATACCAGTAGCTCAAGGCCAGGGCCCTCCCTTTGAAGCCTGGGATTCTAAATCTAGGACCTGCTATTTTCATTTTTAAGACTTTTCTTCATTGGGCTGCAGTTGCCTGTTGCCTCACCATATAGATTATGAATCACTTTCCCATATTTTGCATAAATCATTTGATCCTCATAACCTTCTGAGATAGAATACTGATAAGGAATTTGAAACTGGAAAAGGTGGTGGCTTGCCCAAAGTTGCATAACTAGTAAGTGACAGAGCAGGGATTTAAGTTTAGGTCTTCCAGTTCCAAACCCTGTGTTCTTCCCACTGGACCATGCTGTTTTGTGACTTTGTCTTTCCTTACAGGGTCTGAGTGGCAAAAAAAGGAGAAGGGAAAGGGTGTGTAGCCTTTTTACTCTTTCTCCTTTGTTTCTGCTAGTAAAAATCTTTTAGAAAGCAACTGCAAATATTTATTTAGCCTCTGCTGTGTGCCAGGTACTGTGCTTAGCGCTGGGGGTTCAGAAACACTAGGATAACAGCATACTTCAAGGAGCTCAGGGTTTCGTATGGGGGTGTGAGGAGTGCTCTAAGAAGTGTTAGCTTGAGCTTCAAAGATGCCTGGGAGTGGGATGTGTTAGGAAAAGTGGTAGCCTGAAATACAGAATGTGGGGGGGAAGAGGTGACAGTCTACTCCACAGTTAGATTAGGGGCAGATACTTAAAGTGTTTTCAGTACCATGCCAGATAATTTTAACTTTATTTAGCATAATGTGTGGAGCCAATCAAATTGAATAAAAGGCGGCATCGGTTTGGTTTTTAAAATTGGAAGAAAGACCAAAGTTAGTGATCTCATTTAGGAAGCTTCTGCATTCTTTCAGGTTAGAAAGGACGGCCTGAATTGGGAAGCAGAAATAAATATTGAGCAGAAGGGACTGATGTGAGAGACATTTGGGATTAAAGAGACAGATCTTAGCAACCAGTTAAGTATGGGGTGGGGCAAAAGAGGAGAAGGAATCCAAGTCAGCTTCAGAAACCTTGGAAAGGGTTAGATGCTTGCTTCAGAGACCTGCTTTCAAGGGGAAGTTACGAAGCTGTGTTCTGTTCCACAGTCAGAAGGAACAGGTAGTAGCAATGGGATAGGGAAATTATGGCAACAAACTGAGAGTGGTTCTGTGATCATTTATGGGAGGCCTTGGTCTCTATGGCTTCCAGCCTCCCTGTCTACCAAGCGCTAATCATGGACCATTTGTTCTCTCAGCTCATATTTCCAAGTAGTTTCCGTACCTTATACCCCAACCAGCCACGGAAAGCCAACACCAAGTAGGAAGAATCCCAGCTTTAGTTGCTGCTGGGGATATTGTGTTCTTGGCAACATAAATTGGAATTTTAAAATACTCTTTCGTATGGAAACATATGGTGTTTTTTCAGCACAGTGCACATAGCATAATTAAATTATGGTTTTAATTGGTTTCTTTGGACTAACCTGAGAGCCTAGTGACTATTTTTTACTTTGCTTTGGTGTGAGAATTCTACAAATCCAAATTATAATTAATTTTTTAGAACACAGTCCACTTGCACTTTGGAAACTGTCAGAGGACCTGTATACTTTCTGTAGGTCATCAAGGCCCTTTGCTTCTGTCTTTTCCTTCTGACTGCTGGCCCTTAGAGATTTCTCTGTGCGTTACAGCTACACCAGAGGACTGGAGCAAAGGAAGTTGGAAGTCAAATAAGTTGATTTTTTATTATTAACAACTCTGAGAAGAGTTGATTGGAGGAGAAATTATTGGCTAAAAATGAGAGTTGGGAATTGTCTTGAAGTTTAATTAATCCATCACTATACCCAGATAAATAGAGATGGCCATGGCATCTTTCTGCTCTTTTATTTCACAAAGGGAATGATGAAAGGTGGAAATAAACAAGAAGAAGCGTGGATAAATCCATTTGTTAAACAGTTTGCAAATATCAGTTTTCCGGTAAGTATGTTTTCTTAGCAACCTCCTCCCCTTTTAATGGTGGTTCATAAACTTACCCTAATTTCATGTTTTTGTTTTCTTTAATTGTTCTCTGAGTCGTTATCAATATGCTGAGGTTAGAATAAAATTTTCCATGAGTTCTTTATTTTTATAGTTATAGCTAAAAATACTGATCACATATCTTTTTTTATTATTTTTTTTATCATGTTAGGCAATGAAAAATGAGATTTTATGATCGACTTAAATTTCACAAATGAGGAAATAAAGTAAAATGCTTCACTTTTATTTGCGTTTGCAAGTTAAGATCAAGTAACAAGCTACTTTTTTCTTTTTCAGAGAGACTCGCCAGAAGAAAATGTACAGAGCAATAAGATGGATCTTTCTGGAGGTAAGAAAACATTAAATCAGCTTGAGTTTCATGGATTCATCATTGATGGGGAGACTTACCTGTGACATAATCCAACTGAAAGAGCATTGATCTCAACCAGGAGAGGGAGCTGTGGGTTTCTGCTTCAGTGTTCCTATCCTTTCTGGTGTACATTAGAATGTGGGGATTATGCGATTTGGTGTGCCTTTTAAAGTGTAAAATCACTGTGCTAAGCTAATGGTACTGTTAGTCTTTGGTCACTGCAGACTGAGTCCTGTCAGGAATAAGTTATCCAGGTTGGATGACACAGTCTTCTTAATTTAGGGAACACTTTTTACAAAGGCCCAGATACAGTGACAGAAACATCTGAAGCCATATTGGAGAAGTGGCGGGTAGTTCCATGTCGTTGAAGAATAGATATAAATTGACTGTGGTGGTGGGAGTGTGGTGATAGTAAAAGCTGTACCCAGGTGGATTCACTAGAAAACTAGGTAGGTGCTAAATCATGTGGCACTTGGGTGTCTGAACTTTTCTGAAAATAAGGGATTAAAGAATTGTAAGCAGGAAAATGAAATGATTTGGATTTATGTTTTAGAAAAATAATCATGGCTATAGATCAAAAGTCTTGGGACAGAAAACACTGGCAGCGGAGGAAGACTAAAAGATACTAAACATAGAAAACCAGTTAGAGATTTTGTTGCTTTTGCTGGTAAGAATTTTCATAGCTCTAAGCTAAGACAGTTGATGGGAAGAATTGTAATTCAGTGGAGATATAGGAATCAGAATCAGTAAAAGTTGATAACTGGTTTGAACCAGTTTATTACAGAGGATGAGCATGAGCATGTGGTAAAAGATAATTCCCAGCCTTCTTGCCTGGACAGTTTTGTAGGTAGTAATGTTACTGTTTTAGTCTGAGTCCAGGTGGAAGAGAGGGACCATATAGTAATTGGAACAGGGAAAGTTTAATACAGATGTAAAGAATTACTGTTAGATTGATGAGGAATTGGCTAGGAAGAGATAATAACAGGACCTCCTAAGAATATATGAATAGCCGATATAAGAAGTAACCTAGAGACTAAATTGTAAAAGTCAACTTTTAGCACCTTAAAAATGCAAAAAGGGAAGAGAAAGAAGAAAATGGCCTATACAGCTAACAGATAGATAAGCAATGGATAATAGCAGAATTGTTGCTTATTAGGTGAAATGGTGAGAGAAACCACTCCTACTTTCACCTTTTGATTCTTACTGCATCCTTTTCGGATGTTGTCTTGTCAGCTTGCTTTGTAACTGAGTCTTCAGTAACCACTTGTACCTTTCAGCTTGGCTAACTACTTTTGGATGATATCTGTGGTAAAACCACTTAAGCACATTATTACTCTTTTCTTTGCTATGGAATGAGTTCTTTGATCAGACAGTGCTGTGAGGAGTGATGGATAAGGCCTCTGTGAGACCATGGATGGTAAGGGCGGGGGGGATCCATATCCAGAATGTGTGTCTCTTCCTGTGAGGACAAGGCTCTGCCTTCTGCCTGACTCACTTCTTGCTGGGATGCGGTGTTGTTGGACCTTGCTGGCAGTCTACCCTTCTGGGGTGCTGGGACAAGCTTCTCATGGAGGGCTGTGTCACCACAGACGCTCCGCTACAGAGCTGCTTGGAGGTATTTGGGAATGCTGGGAGAAACTGGCCTCGGGTGCGGCTGACCATCCTGAACTGCGAGGGCAGGGCACAGGAGAAGCTGGAAGCACTGCCAAAGCCTCCAAGAGCAAGTAGGCAGCACTTCTGCCGGCAGCATCTCTGCAGTGCCCCTTGCTGATAAAACTTCAGTGCCAGTTGGCAAAGGAAGAAAATGTAGAGCCTGGATACAGTTTCAGAGAGCAGTCAACAAGGGTGAATTTGGAGCTGAGAGACAATAAACCAATAACTGGCCATTATTTGAGATAGAAAATATATAATAGGTTGGATAGACAAGATTACTGAGTTCAGAGTTGCTATGAAAACCACGTGGTAATAACCAGTAACTAGTAAAAAAAAAAAAAAAATCTGGGTGTGGAGCTTATAAAAGGTAGGGCTGGAGATAATAAGTGTAATTAATTAGACATTAATGGTAGTACGGGTCGTGGAGGGAATTCCCTGGTGGTCCAGCGGTTAGGACTCTGCGCTTTCACAGCCAAGGGCCTGGGTTCCCTGGTTGGGGAACTAAGGTCCTGCAAGCTGCGTAGTGTGGCCAGAAAATTTAAAAGTTAAAAAAAAGCGGGGGTTGACTAGAGACTTAGAGTGATGGACCAAAGACAAATTCTGGGGCAAAAATGGCATTTAAGGAAAGATCCGAGGAGATGTGGAACAGGTTTGAGTAGAATGGGGTAATTTTTCAACGGCAAAATGAAAATAGAGGTTTGAAAAGAGGAGAGGGATTGTCACGGAATGGATTTGACCCTGGAGGTTAGGAGGCGTGTCATTGGTAACTTAGCCAAGGGCTAAGGGCCAGGAAGTCAGTCCTGGGTATTCATTGGAAGGACTGATGTTGAAGCTGAAACTCCAGTTCTTTGGCCACCTGATGTGAAGAGCTGACTCATTGGAAAAGACCCTGATGCTGGGAAAGATTAAGGGCAGGAGGAGAAGGGGACGACAGAGAATAAAATTGTTGGATGGTATCACTGACTCAGTGGGCAGGAGGTTGGGTAAATTCTGGGAGTTGGTGATGGACAGGGAGGCCAGCCTGGCATGCTGCAGTTCATGGGGTCTCAAAGAGTCGGACACGACTGAGTGAACTGAACTGAAGGGCCTTCTTATATGATTGGTCAAGGGAAGGCTGCCACATTTGGAGCTCAGGTGGTTTCTGAAGTGATGCCCGATGGTTGGATGAATGGTTTGGGGAGAGGATGTATCACACTACCTTTTTTAAAAAGATTTTATTAAACAGGCAGAAGTAATGTGGATTTTTAGGAAAGAACAACTTGGAGAGAGATTTGAGAGAAGAGTTGCCTGCGTTAGATCTGAAAAGTGAGGAAAAGAGTTCAAAATGGCTATCTTGGATGTTTCAGTGAATTAACAGAGGGAAAGAGAACAGAGAAGAGTTTGTTGCAAATGCTTATTGAAGAATACTTTCCTTTTGGTGGCTCAGACAGTAAAGAATTTGCTTGCAGTGCAGCAGCCCCGGGTTCAATCCCTGGGTCGGGAAGACCCCCTGGAGCAGGGCATGGCAACCCACTCCAGTATTCTTGCCTGGAGAATTCCATGGACAGAGGAGCCTGGTGGGCTGTACAGTTCATGAGGTCACAAGAGTCAGACATGACTGAGCAACTAATACTTCCCTTTGTTAAAAATTTTTCCTTTCCACTCGCCTAAAATGAGGTTTTAATAGTGGGTGTGTCATGGTGGTGGCTACAACAGCAGTTCTCTCAAAAGAAGGACAGCAGTTGCAAAGAAATCGTGGGTGAGATTTGAGGGTGGAGCCTAAGGAACAAGGAAATGAACTGCAATTTTCACAAGTTGAAAACCAAGGTCTCAAGTCTGTGTGACTAGGAGAGTAAAGACACCGCCTCTGAGCCCCATGAAGATCGAAGGGCAGTACTGCCCTTGGTTTCTCCAGTTAGAAGTGACGAAGGGGCGTCCAAGTGACCGTGCCTGCCAGCAGTTAAAGATGTGCCAGTGAGCACAGGCGTCGAGTCAGAGTAGACGTTGGTATTTAAGGGTCGCCGTGACGGTGAACAAGCCTCAGGGAGGCCAGTTTGAAGAGAGTTGAAAGACTGAAACCTTGAACACACTGAGTACATCCCAACATCAAAGAAAGACAAAGAAGCGGGCTCAGCTGTGGAGAGAGGAGGACTCAGGACAGGCATAATATGGTGAGGATGTGAAGTTAGAGAGTTGCTTAGGATGGTAGCCTGGGAGCTGGCTCTTTCGAGCACAGATTTTTGCTAGACATGGGGATACCATGAGAGAGGTCATATTTATTGCAGAGAAGTCGGTGAGGAGAGCAAAGCATGCCCTTAGGGAGGGGAAGATCTTTTCCATTGGCTGAATGGGGGTGATGATAGTAGAGTTATAAGCATTAAATGAGAAATGCATGTTCACAACAGTGCCTGGCACATTGTAGACATCTACTGGATGGTTTGTTGTGGTACTGTTTCTGTTTGTTACTAGAAACTATGTTGTTATTATAAAATTAAGCAGAGTTGAGATGACCAGCGATGTCTTACCTTTCTGTTTACTAGTCTGTTTTCAACTTACTTGGTTCAATAAAATGATAGTGTCTGCTAAACCTAACTTGTGAGGAATATAAGATTTATTAAATGCTAGTGCATTTTTCACATGTCAAGGCAGAAGTCATTTTGGTTTGGAAGTGAGTATTTCTCTTTCTATTGTAAATTTATCTGAAACCAACTAGGTTAATTCTCTTCCTACTTGATGACAAATCTCCTGCATTTGTTAGGAATGTTACAAGACAAACGAATGGAGATAGATAAACATAGCCTAAATATTGGTGATTACAATCGAACGGTCGGGAAAGGCCCTGGTTCTCGGCCTCAGATTTCCAAAGAGTCTTCCATGGAGCGCAGTCCTTACTTTGATAAGGTAAGTTGTCTGTCTGTTTTCTGTCTTGTTTTACCCCATGGCCAAGAAAGCAATACACTTAATGGCATAATTTCTCATTAATAGTTTAGAACATTTAATATAATATGAAGTGTTATAACCCAGTTCCAAATATTACTGGACTTGTAGTTCATTGTCCTTTTATGTCACAGTTTATCACAGGGATCGTATATATATTTTCCTCTTAATCCCGTAAAATATGTTTGGTTCTTTTTGTGTGCTCTAGAATTAACACTAATCTGATCTCTTCTGTTTTCTACCTGTTTCCTGTTGATGCTGGAATGTCATGTGACTTCTCTCCTGTTGCTGCAATGATTTCTCCCTTCCACTTGTTTGCTTGGCTGGTGTTGCACGTCTTTCTGTCTGTCCAATCAGGATGGCATTGTAGCAGATGAATCCCAAAACATGCAGTTTATGTCCAGTCAAAGCATGAAGCTTCCCCCTTCAAATAGTGCACTACCTAACCAGGCCCTGGGCTCCATAGCAGGGCTGGGTATGCAAAACTTGAATTCTGTTAGACAGGTAAGTCCACATGTGTATTTCAGGCTCTCTGTTGATTTGTATAAGTAATAAGAGCTCTCTTACATGTAGTTGCTGTGTTTAAATCAGTATTACAGTGTGTGGTAATGAGATGTTAGCCCCTGAAGAATCCAGTGTTATTTGGTGGTGGTGGTTTGTTTTCGTAGAATGGCAATCCCAGTATGTTCGGTGTTGGGAACACAGCAGCACAACCCCGGGGCATGCAGCAGCCTCCAGCACAACCTCTCAGCTCATCTCAGCCTAATCTCCGTGCTCAAGTGCCTCCTCCATTACTCTCCCCTCAGGTGAAGAAGCTTTTCTGCTCTATTCTCTACTGTTTACCTGGAGTAGAACCTCAAATAAATTTATATTTGAATGAGATGACTGGTTGGTCGTCGGATTATTTATTGGCCACTTATGCAGCTAATTCTGAATGAGTTATTAGTACAAAGGGTTGTGGGTAGGGTGCAGCAAATGAGTTAAAGAAAATTTAAATCTCAAATCTGTCATTCTCTTTCATAAAGTACCTTGCGGGGAGAATGACAGTAGCAGTATGAATTAACTGACTGAAGATTTATCACTGCCACTTTTTACTTAACCCGTGAAAATACATGGGAACAAAAAATTAATGAAGCCAGAAAGAACACCCCCCACGCGCCCCCCCCGCTGTAATAATCCACAAGTGTAATTGCTCTACTGATACTTTAAAACACATAGTATGTTTTGTTAGCTTGAGTTTCTTTTATCAACATAGTTAACTTAACCACTGTGATCCTCAGGTTCCAGTTTCATTGCTGAAGTATGCACCAAACAACGGTGGCCTGAATCCGCTCTTTGGCCCTCAACAGGTAGCCATGCTGAACCAGCTATCCCAACTAAACCAGCTTTCTCAGATCTCCCAGTTACAGGTAAGTAGAACAGAATAACAGCCATATTCAGTATACATTCATTGTCTACTGTAAACTCCACGCTAGAGTCTGAGCAGGAAGTGTCAGTAGACAAAGCAAGCATAGTCGTGACCCTCAGGGAGCTTCTAGTCTCTTAAGTGAAGGCAGATGGTAAACTGGAAGGGCAGAGTGCGGTGTGAGCAAGCCCAGCCAAGTCTGGGGTGGCCGTGGGAATAGGATGACCAGAAAACATTTACCTGATGAAGTGGAAGTTTAGATTGAGCAAAGGACTGAATTCAGCAGAATGGCTGGAGGCCAGAGTCCTCCAGAGGATAGTCTGCAGTCCAGAGATGATACTGGATGAGGCAGGGCGTGTTGGCATCAACTAGATGGAGCCGTGCCTTTGTAGGCTGCTCTGACACAGTCACTCTGCGGCACGCTTGTCTGTAATGATGTGATGCTGACGACCTGTTTGCACTTTTCCTCCAAGCGATTGTTAGCGCAGCAGCAAAGGGCGCAGAGTCAGAGAAGCGTGCCTTCTGGGAACCGGCAGCAGCAAGACCAGCAGGTAGGTGCCATCCTTCCCCTTGCTTCTCACACTCAACTTAGATCGATTCCATTGTCATCGTGACAAGGCAGTTGAAATGCCTTTATTAAAATATAATGAAAAACATTATTAAGTCTTCTGTCTGCCTAGAGGTCTTACTAACTGGTGGACAATGATTCTTCACCTTCCTGATGAGAAGGAACTGAATTCAAAAATGAAGGGGGGATCGAAGGTATCCGTAAAGACTTCTCTCCACAACTTCCCAATCATTTTGTTGTTTTAAGGGTCGACCTCTTAGCGTGCAGCAGCAGATGATGCAACAATCTCGTCAACTTGATCCAAACCTGTTGGTGAAGCAACAAACTCCGCCATCTCAGCAACAGTCACTCCATCAGCCAGCCATGAAGTCTTTCCTTGAAAATGTCATGCCCCACACTACACCTGAGCTGCAAAAAGGGCCATCACCAATAAATGCTTTCAGCAACTTCCCTATAGGTGGGTTTTTCCTTGGCCAAAGCATTGGGCTGGTGTTTGGTGATCACAGGTTGGCATATTGCTGTCTGACCTGTCCGCTTGTTCTCTCCTGAGCACCATGTGGTCCTTTAGCTGCTCCGTCTCTGAGTGGCCACGCTTCTTCCGGCATTAGCCCCTCTTCATTCTTCAGGAACATCTGTCTCTGTTCAAGAAAATCACACATTTCACAAAGCCCATGCCCAGGTGGTGCAGTGGAAAGAATCCGCCTGCCAGTGCAGGAGATGCAAAAGGCATGGTTCAGTCCCTGGGTCAGGAAGATCCCCTGGAGAAGGAAATGGCAGCCCCCTTCAGTATTGTTGCCTGGGAAATCCCATGGATGGAGGAGCCTGGTGGGCTGCAGTCCACCGGGTCACAGAGAGTCAGACACTGCTGAGCACAGCACAGCAGCGTGCTCGTTTGAAATGAGTTAGCATAAATATATTTCTTTTTAAGACTCAGATATCTTCATCATAGGATAGGAAGGGGAGGGGAGGACTGAAATTATTAGAGCACGCCAGAGAAATTTTGAGCTTTGCTGCTTTGTAGAAATAACTTGTAACAGTCATATCTGAAATTGTAACTATTGTTTAAATGTTTACAATAAATTACTGGCATAAATGTAAAAAATAGGTATGAGAGAAGGAATTGCTTTTATTGCATTTACATTTGCTTCCCCCCAACCCCTCTTTCCTTATTATGTCTCCAGGTTTTTTATTCCCTCTGGGAATTTCAGGTTTATATGTCTTCTCCTTCCTTAGGTCCCTTCTCTTCTTGTGCCTTTGAGTATCTTTTGACCTTTGATCATTCACACCCTGTTCGTTTTCCTTTTTCTTTCTCTTTTGTAAACCAGCTTCTTTGGTTACTAGCCCAACTGTTGAAGACGTTCAGTTGACTAACATGTTCTGGGCTGTGGGCGGAGGTTGGGCCTGCTGTTGTCCCTGCTCCCGATTCGTGTTGGCTGGACCTGATACATGACTCAGCTCTCCCTGGTTTCACTGTGGACTCAGCTAGGACACTGATGGAACTTCCAGTTTTAGGAGTTGTTAGCAATCTTTTTACATTCCTTTGTCTGTTAGGCGAATATCATAGAAGCCATGTCCTCCCAGAGACAGCAGTATGGTGATAAAAGAATACCCAGGTGTACATTGAGAGGTTTTGGTCTCACTAGAAAGGAAGTGACTCTCACTGTGTGATTACATACTGAGCATATAGATTGGGCCACTGAGGAGATAAGTTTCTAAATAAGCAATTTCCTATCCTGGCTGGCCGTAGAGCAAGAGACTTTTTCCTGATTAAGGAAGTCTGCTTTAACCCAGGCAAGTGCCAGTGTGGTTGTCTAAATCAGGCACTGGCAAACTACAGCCCATTGGTCAAATTTGTCTAGCTGCCTGATTTTGTAAATAAAATTTTATTGGAAAATAGCCATGCCCTTTTGTTAATGTATTTCCTAGCTGCTTTTGTGCCACAACAGAGTTGCATGAAGACACTCGGGCCGTGTGACCCACTGAGTCTAAGATATTTACTGTCTAAACCTTTACCTAAAAAGCTTTCCGACTACTGGGTCTAAATGGTGAGTCCAGAGGGCAGTAAATTTAATTACTTTCTCCAAATAGGGGTGATACTAGTGAATTTATATTATTAAAGTTTTAAGTTTGACCTGGTATCACATGGACTCTCCACCAGACCCAGTATCTTAAAAAACCATTTATTTTGAAACTTTAGATCAAGAACCGTTTGGATGTATTAAACAAAGTTTCTGGCTCTTGCTGAAAATTTTTCTTTCTTTTTTAAAATTTATTTCCTTTTTTATTTTGTGGCATGCAGAATGTTAGTGTAGATTTCAACACTGGAAAGATTTAAGCAGAGAAATAATAGAACCTCACATACTTTCTAAGAACTCATCTTGACTTATTTTTCATTGTGTGCCCATTTATATTTTAATTTCTTACCCTGTGCATACTTCGGCTAAAGAAAACATTTATCATCAGTTTTTTTTTTTTTTTTTTGGTCTCACTGCATGACTTGTGGTATCTTAGTTCCCAAACTAGGGATCAAACCTGTGCCCCCTGCAGTAGAAGCAGGGAATTGGAAAGTTTTCATTTTTAATAAGCATCTCAGATTATTCTGTAGATGATGGTGCCCAGGATCACACTTCAAGAAACACTGGCTTAATGGTCAGTGACTAAGATAGAAATTTCCATCTTTGTTCCAAGAGAATATCTAAGGCTGATATGTGTCACTAGCTAATCAAGTAAGTTGCACCTTGGGATACAAGAATCTCACCCTTAGGTACATTTCCTGCCCTTAAAGCAGGACAGTTTTACTTTTAAATAACAGTATCCTTTGGTGGGTCAGGCAGTTGAAAATTGTTGTTTATACAAGCAAAAGTTAGCGACTGAACATGGTCATTTGTAATTTTTCATGCATGGTACTCTTGGGAAGTTCCTAAAGAGATATATTTTAGTAGCTAAACAAATACTTCGCTGCCTTAGAATTTTCTCTTATTTTGCCAGGGAATTTTAAAATAATCAAAATTATAGGAGTAGTTTTCCACAGTTAATGCAAGTATAGTACTGACAGTTTTGTGGTTTAAAAATGTGTATTATTGAGTATTAGCTAGCTCTTTAGAATTTCTGTGTGTTGCTTTCTCTGGTACCCTAGGCAGGCTCTTTCTTCTGACGTCATTTCTGCGTGACCTTGGCCAGGAGCCCGGAGTGTCTGTCCTGCCTGCCTTGCCTTTATCTATAATCATTTGGCTCTGCCACGTTTGCAGGATATTTATTAAGGAATATTAGACAGGATTGAAAACATTAGATTAACTGCATACGTTTTTTAGAAAATGAAAGTTGTGGTACCAGAAGGAGAATGTGCTATATTTTTATAACATGGTTTTTAAAAATTGTTATCTATTTTTAGGCTTGAACTCAAACTTGAATGTAAATATGGATATGAACAGTATTAAAGAGCCACAGTCAAGACTAAGGAAGTGGACTACAGTGGACAGCATTTCTGTGAACACATCTTTGGATCAAAACTCCAGCAAACATGGTATAAGATACATTCTTATATTCTGACTTTTTATTTAAAAACTGTCAAATACTAAATTTAGGCCTTATTTTTAAATATATATCTTCATAGTTAAATTCTCTTAAGAACCTTTCTTATTATTAAAAAGTGCTTTATTAGTTATTGAATCTTAGTTAAAATAAAGTAAAAGACCTTCATTGTGCTATTGTGAAAAAGAGAGGTTGGAGCACATTTATTTTTTTTACTTACTCCCTCTTTAGATGGCCATTTAGTTTTTTGCTCTTATTTTATTGTTTTAATGTTCTACTTAACATTTATTCAGTTTAATCTGATGTAAGGGATTAAAGACTTCCACCATTAAAAAAAACAAACTTGATTTCTGACAGTTTCTTATCCATTTATTTAGTAAATGTTAATGAAACATTTTCTGCTTTCCAAGAGCTGTGCTCAGTCACCTGGAATACATAGATACACGTGTACATACGTGCATACAATTGAGTATGCAAGTAAAAGTACTTGCTCTGAAGGCCCTCATTGTTTGGTAGCAAAAATAAACGTGTGAACAACTTTAGTTTGCTGTGACAGGTGCTCTTAGAATTAATACATATAAAAGGAGAAACAGTATAAGAATGTAAATCCAGTGGAAAAGTGAGTAAGGGATAACAAACCATGGGTGTGGCGGGTCTGCAAAGGCTTTAAACAAGGGCTCCTCTGAGCCGAGTCTTTGAGAGTTTACCAAAGGACTGGAGAAAGAACAACATGGAATGGGTGGCGTGAGAAAAGTTCAGAGACAGGAGAACCTGGTGAGTTCTGCCACACGGGCATGTCTGGGGGTTGACAGCCTGAGCGAGAGAAGGGGAGCAGGGTACAGCTGCTGTAGTAGGCATGGAGCAGTCAAGGAAAACTTCTGTGCCTGCAAAATCACTCTAAACCTGAAGCATGTGGCCACCTAAAGGTGCCCAAGGCTTAAAGGAGTCAGAGAGAGAGAAAGAGGGAAACAGACATGAGAAGAGGGAGTGCATTGAAGGAAGCATTAGAATTAAGGACAAAAGGACTGGGTAACTAACTTCGCTCATTCTGCAAAGACATGATTATCTTTAATGCGCCTCCCATTTATCTCCTTCCTCAGTCCAATCTTGTACCTCACCCTGGGCTCAAAGGTCGTTCCCAAGTAGCCTCCTCCAGGCTTTGTGCTTGAATAGCACCTCTTATGCATGTCTGTCTTCTGTAAGTATCCATCTGGGCCTGTCTCCATCACAGGGAGGAGTGAGTCTGTTCTTTGCTTACCTAGTCCCACTGGGCGCATTGCAGCGCTCGGGGAACCTTTGTTAGGTGAAAGGATGAGTGGACGATAATGCGCTTATTGGTAGAGGAAATGTAGGAAATGAAACAGGCCTGCTGGGGCAGATAATGGATTGATTTCAGAGTGTGGTGTTAATATTTTGGAAATACCTCAACATGGACAAGCCCAGTAGAGGCCTAGTACTCAAAAGAAAAATCTGGGCTGAAGTAAGATTTGGTGTTCATCAGAATGTTGATGTGGAATGGACGAGCTTGCCCAGACTGATGGAGGAGGGAATAAGGACAGAATCTTGGAGCCAGTGGCAGTAAAGAAACCTGGAGGAGAATGGGTGGAGAGATAGGATGTGGAGACCCAGAGAAGTGTTTCTACCATATGATTGTCTTCTCAGGTTAAAATAAATTTTCCCATGTCTGCTTCACGTGTCTGAGCCTCAGTTTCTTTGTAAAAAGGAAGTATTTCCTTCTGCTGTTGTAGGTATAATATGTTTCATATTCTCAAGTGCTTGGTATGCTATACCAGTGTATAGTATGCATTGTATAAATGGCATGTCATCATGTGGCATAGGTTTTGAAGTCAGACTTGGAATTTGATCCTAGTTCTTGCATAGTGTTTGCATCTGTGAAGTGGAAAGGAAGCATCGTAGAATTACTGAGGATTGAAAGAGATAACATAAAGCTCCTGTCTCATTACCTGGCATGAGACATGCAAGTAGTGGGTGGTGGTATCTTCTATTATCGTTTTCATTCAATTCAATTAGTAACTTTACATTTTGTACTTTATCTTCTCTTTTTTTAAACTTTTATCTGCTTTTTATCATTTTTTTACCATGGATTTTATTGTTTAATTCTGCATAAACCTGGAATGTGAGCCTTGAATTTTTAAATTTTTTAGTAATTAGCTTAGACAATAAATACTTTTATACCTGTATACATAGCAGTCTAATGAACATATTCTAGTAACATTCTCTTCAAAATAACGAGGAAGTTGATGCTTTTCTTTTACTTCAGTGTAGGTTCCTATTCTTTTTTCTTAATCTAACATAGAGTTGATGTACGGTATCACACAAGTTACAAGCATACAGTATGGTGATTCACAGTTTTTGAAGGTTATACTCTATTTATAGTTATTGAAAAATACTGGCCAAATTCCCTCTACATTTCAGGATTTAAAAGGTGGTGTTTTTGTGTTTTAAGCTTTTCAGTCTGTTTAACGAAGGTGCTTCTTCGTACCATGGTAACTCTGGTTGTTTATACTGTCATTTTCTCCCCGAGCTCCCGTTTGCCCCGTGCTGCTTTTCCTTCTCTTGCTGCATCTCTTCGTCCTGGTGGAGATCTAGAGGCTTCTTCTCAGGCACATTCTTTGTTTTGTTTTCTGTTTTCCTTACATTACAAAGAGAAATGCTAATCATTTTATTTCTATTATCAATATTTTGGTGCCGTTTGTTCTTTTTGCCTTATAAGAGTAAAATCGGGATCTAACTTCATGTATTTTAAGAGCGATCCCCAAATGGCAGGTCTGTGTGTTACGTGCTGTTAGACCCTCACCATTTTGAAAATAAGTTTTTTGGAACCAGCATCCGTTTAAACGTTTGCGAAGTTTCGTGTTCAGATTTCTGGCATCTCTGCAGAATGGAAAGATCTGCCGGCGCCCAGCTCCAGAGCTGTCACCATCCCAAGCCGAGTGGCTGCTTTCTCATTCTTCCCACTCCCCTCCCCCTGGTGGGGAAATATTTTTCTATACTCCCTAACCAGAGGGATATTTCCCTGAAATTGTGTTTCTACTTGAGGAAGGACCATGGGATTTTTTTTCTAAAGGCAACTTGCTTCACTTGTTTATAAAACCTGGTTGGCCCTATTGGCATTTGTAGTTCTATGCTATAGAAAATGGGGGCTGTTTTTCTAATAGTAGCAGAGGAGTGTGGAGATCATTTTTTTTAAGGGCGAATGATCTGATCGCAGTATTTGGGCTCATGTCAGAGATGGGCTGAGCTTGGAGACAGGAGAGGCCTGTGGGAAAGGTTTGGCTGGCTCTGATAACTTGCATCACAGTCTTACGTGGGTTCTATTTTTATCTCCATCTAGTGAAGCTTAGCAGGCTAGCAAGATAGTTGTGGAGCTGAGAAGAAAGGGCAAAGTCAAGAGAACTGTTTGTGTCAGAGATCCCCAGGTACACTAGTTTTCCTAAAGAACTCACAGAACTCAAAAAAGCTATAATATTCATGGTTATGGTTTGTTACAGCGAAAGAATACAGATTAAAATCAACAAAGGCAAAAGGTGCATAGAAGAGAGTCCAGGAGAAATTAAGAGAAGCTTTCGTTGTCGTCCCCTCTCAGTGCGATCTCTTGGACTTGATTCTCCCAGCAGCAGTGTGTGAGAACATGTACAAAGTATTGCCAAGCAGAGACGCTCACTCAGCCTTAGCGTCCTCAGTTTTTATCAGGAGTCAATTGTATAGTCGTGGAACACACTTATGTGTCAGCCTCAAGCACCCTGCAGACCCTACATATGTAACTCTTTTTTTTCTGTGATTGCAAAGATTTCTGAATCATTTTGATTTGGGTTCCCTGTGTGTTGAGACGTAAAGAGCATGACCCAGGCCCCATGCACAGAAGAATAGATGTTCACCACAAGTCCCGTTGTTATCAGAAACTCTTGCATGGCCATGGTTATGCAAAGGAGCTCTTATCTGGCAGCTGACAGGCTCTTCTGTGAGCTACAGGAGCCCAGTAACCGTCAAGGGCTGGTCTTGGAGCTCTTTGCCATGTGCAGCCTAGCCCTGCTGTGCTAACCCTTCTCTGTGCACCTCCCACAGTCACAACACCAGGGGGTAGAGTGGAGACAACGACATTGAACCCCAGAGTTGTGGAGCAGTGAGGGTTGGACTGGGCTCTGGGGTGTTTGTGATACTTCATACTTTATGGTCCCATGATTCTGTTTTCTTCACCAGTTTATAAAACCCCTTGCCCCTCGTCGCCCAGAGAAAAGTACAGTGTTCAAGAGCAGGAATACGTTTATTTCAGACTTGAGGGCTGTTGCTTATAAAGAAATAAAAGTTATCATATAAAATTATATGAAAGAACTAAAACCAAATATATATCAATTTGATTAAGTGGGTCAGACTAATTTATTAAAAGAAATTCTTATTGAATCCCAGAGTAAAACCTGACTGTATGCTATATACAGGGAACCCAAAACAAAATGATTCCAAAATCTTTGTGATCACAGAAAAAAAGAGTTTATGTAGGAAGCAAAATTGACAGGATTTAGTGATTTTAGATAATAAGGAAGAGCTAGGAGAGAGTTGTTTTCTAACTTAAGTAACATCAGATCTATGTTCCCCTGTTTAGTACTAAAAGGATATTTTGTGACATCGATTCCTTTCTTCATTGGATTTTCTCTTAAAACTTTGACTAACTTTGGCTTAAAGGTCAGGTTGCTGCTTTGTACACACTGGACTGATGATTACCCGAAATTGAAGGTGAAATTGCCATGTAATTGAAGGAACATTGGAACGTGAATCAAGCAGCCCTGAATTCTAAGCTAACATGCCTCTCAGTGTTGTGTTACATCTGGAATTTCCCTTAAAAGTGGCAGCTGAGACAAGGATAAAAATGTCAAAAGAAATACGGATTCTAGAATCAACACTTAACTGCAGTGTATTAGCTCTGCTACGTATTAGCTATGGCAAGGGCAAGTAACTTAACCTTTCTGAACTTCAGTCCATCATCTGCTCAATGGGAGCAATAATAGTACCCCTCGTGGTGTTTTGAGGATGAGTAAGGCAGTATCTCAAGCACTTAAGCACTAACCAGGGTTAGATACGTAAGTGACCAGTGGGTCTCAGCCGTCCTCGTTGTTGCTCTTGCCATCATTGTTATGTCATGAGTGCCCTCCGTGTAAGACAGGGCCATTTCTCCAGTGTAAATCCAGCTCTGTTTGCTTAAACTAAAACCTCCCACATAAATTTTACGGTTCATTTTCCTGATGTTCTCCCATATAGTGACTGATAGAATGTAATTGGACCATGGCTAACACTTAGTCACGTCTATTTTCCTTTTTAACAAAATGAAGTTTTAATAAGTAGAAAGTGTTTCTTTTTAACAAGCGGAGGACAAGGGAGTGCTTTTATTATTGCTGGTTCTTGCATAAGAATTAATCACTTGAAATTTGGCAATCATGCCTACTCACTATATTACTTAGAACTACTACTCTATATATCCTACTTTATTTCCAAGTGACTTTAATTCAACTAAGATACATAGCTCACGCAGATAAAAGTAATAGCTCGATGAGGACTCCAGAGAAGGGAGGGCAGTGGAGTTGGTGGGATCACTGATTCAAGTCAGGGATGCGTTAGTGCCCACCAGTGAGTGACTTGAGGTCCTGTGTTTTACCAGAAGCTCATAGCTGGAGCATCCCTGGGTCCATGAACCAAAACTTTCCTCATATCTATTTCAAAATCTGCAACAGACAAGACACTTTCCTTTTATTGTCAAATCCAGTTTTGTGTGTCTGACGCACAGTGAGGCCAAACAAACGGAAATGTCAGAGTTTGGGATAGCGTATTGCAAGGCCAAGCAAGGAGAATGTTCAGCTGGTGCTCAGAAAGCCCAACTCGCCATGGTTTTCAGGGGAAGAGGTTTTTTATAGGCAGAATTGAGGGGGTAGACTGCAGGGGTACTACCGTCCTCTGGTGGGTGGTGAGATGACACGGTGGTGGCTCGGGAGGCTCGGCCACTCGCCTTCTGGTCCGTCCTCTGGGGTCCGGTGCTCGTGCTCAGCCTGCAGTCTCCGCCCTCCACCCGGCTGGGGGCTGTTGACATATCCTGGGAGGAGGAAGCGGGGCCTGGCTGTACTGTTGTTTCTTGACTGCCTTTCCTTTGTTTCTGCATTCCCTTCCTCCCCTAATTGAATCAGCCATTTGGAACTCAGGGAAGGTCTAGGAGGCCGAACCTTTTTTCTACAAACAAGAAATGGGGGACACGGAAAAGCTTTTGTACGCGGGAGAACCAGAGGGATCTAATAGGTTTCAGTTTCTTCACCCTTGCTCCTTCCCATTCCAGAAATTGAATCTAGAAATTTAAGAGGCATTCTCTTTTTTAAAAAGTTTACTGAGATAATTTACATGGACAGGCCTGCTTTTAAAGTGTGCACTTCTGTGGCTTTTAGTACATTCTCAGAGTTGTGCGCCCATCACACCGTCACCCCGGAGAAACCCCTTAAGTGTCATCCCTCCCACCTCCATTAACCATAAGTGAAAACTAGCATTTTTGTTTTCTATAGATGGGTCTGTACTGGACATTTCGTGTAAGTGGAAGCATGTAATACCTGGTCTCTTGTGGCTTAGCATAATGTTTTCAAGGTTCATCTGTGTTGTGGCATGCTGTATTTCATTTCTGTTTATAGTTGAATTGGATCACATGTACCACGTTTTGTTTATGTACTCATCAGTTGGTGGATATTTGAGCCTAAGAGATACTCTCGATTTCTTCCTTCCTCCAGTCTCCCCATCCAGTCCATCTCTGGATAGTGCCCATTCTGCTTTCTGGTTTATGCATCTGCTGCGTCTCATAGTCTCCCTGCTTCCGTGCTAGCCTTCCTTCTCTTTTCTACACTACAGCACATGTGACTTCAAAACAAATGGAACTGTATTAGTATGACTTCCGTTCCTAAAACCCTTAGATACAGTGAACTCATTGCCAAGTCCTAGGGTGTTGCCAATTGTGAAGGCTTGAGGGAACAGACAGGGCATTGGTCAGTCTGCAGTGGTGGGGCCAGGGCAGCTAGAGCACGCAGCACCCCACCTCAGGATCTTTGAATTGCAAGCATTTAAGACAAAACGTCCTGGTCGTCCCTGCCCTTCAAGGTCAGGGCCCAGCTCCTTCATGTTGTTCACTCTCCCATTTACTATTTTTTGGACCCAGTGATCTTTCAGTTCCTGAGAAGTAGCAGTTTTTCTCCTCTAGTCTTTGTGCAGGCCTCACCCACTGGCTGGAATTTTCCCCCCAAACTCTTTCCATGCCGGCCCTTCACCTCCTCACCACGCATTCTCTCCTTCCGCCCTGTGTCCTTCTGCTCTTCTGTCAATGAGTATACTGTCACTGAGGCCCAGGACCCCGCCAGAGAGAGGTGACTGAGGTCTTGAAAAAAGTGCAGGGCTTTTTTCCTCCTGACATCTTCACCTAATCTACAGAACACAGTTTGGAACCCATAGATCTAATGAAAGGTTTTTTTACTGTGTTTGACAAACTACAAGAAATGAATGTGATGGTGTGTTTTGCTCACACTTCCCTTCCATTCGCTTTTTTTCAGGTGCTATTTCAAGTGGTTTCAGGCTGGAAGAGTCTCCATTTGTTCCCTATGACTATATGAACAGCAGTACTTCACCAGCCAGTCCTCCAGGTTCAATAGGGGATGGCTGGCCACGTGCCAAATCGCCTAACGGCTCTAGCAGTGTTAATTGGCCACCAGGTAAAATGCTGACATCTTCTTTTGTGAGAGTTTGTTTCCATTAAGATTTCAGTACCTCTGGACATAGGAATGATTTGGCCCCAGTCCCGTGTGATTGGCCTGAACTACACAACGGGTGGGGGCGCACAGAAATGGAGAGTGAGGAGCTGAGCATCGGGTTTGTCTGCTGAGTGGCCTGGCCTGTCCCCGGCGCCTGTGCTGTGAAGGCGGGGTCAGTTAGTCCAGCACGAAGAACGATAGAAACCCGTGTCCACTCTTCTTCTCCAGCGGTGTCTGGGGACTGACCTGACAGCGTTTCCACCTACTGAGGCATCACCAGAAATGCACTTAGGGCCTGCTTTGTCCAGTCCACGTTGCTGTAGCTTTGTGATTGTAATAAAGCACTTTAAAATATACTTTTAAAAATATATAAACCCAGAGAAATTACTTCATGCAAAAATTCGCAAGTTACTCATTAATAAAACAGCTTATATTAGTTGTGATATTAAATCAGCCTGTTAGGGTGTTGAAAAATAATTTGAGAACATTGGGAAATATTTGAGAATTGCATAGACTTTAGGAATAAAACTTTGAGATCGTTAATAGTGGATTTTTAGATGATGATGAGGCCTGAACTAATTTTAAGTTTTTTATTTCCAGAATTTCGCCCTGGTGAACCATGGAAAGGTTATCCAAACATTGACCCTGAAACTGACCCTTACGTCACTCCTGGCAGTGTCATAAACAATCTTTCAATTAATACTGTGCGGGAAGTTGACCACCTCAGGGACAGGAACAGTGGTACGTAGGCGGGTACAGCTTACGGTTTCTGAATGGTGCAGGGCTGTGTGAGCGGGGCTCAAGGTAGACGTGAAAGTGAGCAGCAGGGGTCACTCCAGCACAACACAGCGCCTGACACCCAAGGGGCTGTGACAGTGGTAACAGAATTCTCCATCACCATAGGTGACTCTTAGCCACTTTTTAATTGGTGAGGATTTAGTATCACTTGATAGGGTGAACACGTATATTAACTTAGTTACATTAACCCAAAGAACCAACAGACATTTGCTTTCCAATAACTGTATTTACCTATTTTTATAAGAAGTTGCCATATTGTGGTTATTAAGAAATGGCTTTCTTATGAAAGAAGTTATATTATTGTTTGTTTTCACACTCTGGATATTAAAGAACTTTCCTCTGGAGAAACTTTCTTGGTCTGTCAGAGGGAAAATAAGAGCAAATTAAGGGTCCATGCATTTGGATGCGCTTTGCAATGGATTATCACATAAAATCCTCCTCCTCCCTACCACAGGGTAATTTCTCATCATGTACAGGAATGCCACGCACACATGCAATAGAGGAAAGGTGAGCAAAATGAAGGAGGATAGATCTTTGTAACATACATCCTCACCGCTATCCCTTTAAACAGTTTTTAATAAAGAAAATATCAAACAGTCAACACTTTCTATCAGCTACATAGTTTGTTGACAGATGTTTGCCAGGTCACAGTGGTGAGATAAGAATCCTCGTCATTCTGAAATGGCTGAATTAGCCGACGGCTCTGTGTGGAAACACCTGGAACCACTGCTTTCACAGGAGAACGTGGGCAGCGAGCGCTCGTGCCCTGTAGCTAGTGAAAGGATCCAGCAGCGGGAACTGTTGCCGAGATTCACAGAATGGTCGGGTCTGGAGCTAAAGCTAGAGAGTAGCCATCACGGGGACTTGCAGTAGTAGGAAGAGAGGCCCAGTTCTGGAGAACGTGGGGCGCAGTGGGGAGGAACCAAGGCCTGGCTCGCTGTGGTGCCGGTGCCAGGGAGCCTTGCTGAGCTGCCCAGCAGGAAGTCACGAGTTCAGAGACAGGCCAGGGACGCAGATGGAGCCTGATGCTGAGAAGCAAGGCCGGTGTTGCAGAGACACGTACAGGGAGACGGGTGGGAGAGGGACCTCTCCTGGGCCCAGGTGGGGGCAAGAGGGAAACTGCCGACGTGGGCACCGTGCCCGAGGCCCTGAGGACGCCTGTGTTCGTTCTGTGGCACACTCCCCAGTTGCAGGCTCTCCGAATGCGTTTGCGTCCCGAACACCGGGCCTCCTGCCCTAACGAGTGACTCACTGGGCTCTTCCCTCGTGCAGGGTCGTCCTCATCCTTGAACACCACGCTGCCTTCAACTAGTGCCTGGTCATCCATTCGTGCCTCCAACCACAGCGTTCCCCTCAGCAGCACAGCACAGAGCGCTTCAGGTGGGCCTGCTCCCCGGCCTGGCCCGGCTGCCACGTCTGCCCCGGCTAGCCCGGAGTTGCCTCGGGGGCCTGGGGGAGTGCGTTCTGAACTGGGGCGGCAGTGTTGACACTCTTCACCCCCTTCTAAAATGTATCATATCCAGTCCTCATTTGTTAAAATAATCAGGTTTCACTGAATAGCCATTCTCATCTGAGATTAAATGTAATTTAGTTCACAGCAGTAGTCCTCAACTATCTGTAGTGAAGGACCTTAAAGACATACTCCTTATGATCAGGTAGAAAAAACAGTTGACGGTGACCGAAGTTATAAAATTTTTCTGTTGGCTTCTGCTCCCCCCTCTTTATTTAGCCTTCTTTTTTATTTAGTTTCCTGTATTCCTGGCCATGCACTGAACCCATAGGCAAATTGCTTACCCTCTCTGAACCTCAGTAGACAGTGTGTGAGGATCAGAAGGAGAAGTATGCCACAAGCCCAGCAGACCAGTGGCATGCTGTGAATGTTTGCTGTGAGGACTGACTCCCTGAGTCGGAGCTACTTTTTTCATGAGTGAACCGCAAAATGCTAAAATCAGTGGTCTGAGATCAGTCTTGAGTGACTCCTTATGATTGTTAAGCTATGGAGTTCCCACTCGCTCTTTGGAGCAGTTCAAAGCAGTGTTCAGTGTGTTGTTGTGTTAGCTGGACTAAGGGTCTCACAGGTCTTAAAACTGTTAATGAGACAGTCTGTTTTGAGCCAAGGGAGCAGGTTCCTTTTTAAAGTTTGTTTTTGTTTGATCTGCTTTTAGTGGAGGAATGGGTACTGTCATTACTTAAATTTTCTCTTTTCTGAAAGCATTTCTCTCCCTTCTCCCCGTCTTTGTTTTTCTCCTTTGAGTAGCCAGAAATAGTGATTCCAAATTGACATGGTCCCCTGGTTCAGTTACAAACACCTCTCTGGCTCATGAGCTGTGGAAGGTCCCTCTGCCACCTAAAAACATCACTGCTCCGTCCCGCCCACCTCCGGGACTGACTGGTCAGAAGCCACCCTTGTCTTCGTGGGATAATTCTCCCCTTCGAGTAGGTGGAGGATGGGGAAATTCTGACGCCAGGTATACCCCAGGTAAGACAGCGTGCACGATGGTGGTTTCTTGTGGTTCATTCACTGAACACCAGCCAGTACCATCAGTCTAGTTTAACAGACCTGAGGAGACTATTGCGTTGTCCTCTATAAAGTAGGATTAGAATGTAATGCAGCATAAGATTCCTAGTTCATTACTGTCTTCGGCCATGCTTTTGAGAGTCTTAAATTTTACTTTAAATTTTGCCCATGTTACTTGGGTTTCCCCAGAAACACACACCCGTCAGCAGTGAAGTTAGTAGAATGGGGACCCCTCCTTTCAGAAGCTGCTCAAGAACTCATCTCATTCGGTGTAGTAACTTCCTGTATGTGGCAGACTTGTGTTGACACCATGTCACATGGAGAAGTATCATCTGACCAACCCGGGGTCAGCGGGGACAGCCCATCTGGGCCTTTAAGGATGGGGCCTGTTTTGGGGTGAAAGCTTGGCCTGTACTTAGGATTATCAGAAAATTTATTGATTCAACAGGGACAGTTCAGAGTGAAACGGGGTGCTGTTAATTAGCCATACAGGCCTAAACCAGCCTGTCCTAGGAACCCTGGGACAAATGATTCCCACCCCCTGCTCCTTCTCTAGACGACTAACACGGGATCATGTCCCCGCCGCCTCCCCCAGCATACACTGCACACACGGCCACAGACATGGCTCAGGGCTCATCTGCTCCCCTGTCCCCCAAGTGCACGAAGTTTTCTCATCTCCAGGCTGAAAATTGTAGTGAAACGTCATTAATAATTTCCAATCTTTAGACCAGTGATTGGTTGAAATAAAACTTAAAATGTTTCCTTAGAGGGAAGGTTTTAATTATGTGAAAAGAACACTTGAGTCTGTTCCAGGTTACTAAATTCACGTTAGCTTGGTGTGATGTGTTAGCGATTCTTTCAGGCCGCAGGCATCTTCTGGGTGCCAGCTCACCCCCTGGCAGTGCATGATGAGGGGGCATCATAAAGGTGGCCGAGGAGCCCTGACCCTCAGGGTGGTGGATAGAGTCGGGTGGGATCAGGAAGCCTGTGTGAGTCAGCCACGTCAGCAGAGGAGCAGCGTGGGCCGAGGCGCCGAGAGCTGGGAAAACACAGGGTTTCCTGTTGAAGTCGGAGCTTGGCCAGGGTTGGGGGTGGTGTTCAGGGAGTGCTGAGCGGCCTTGAGCTGTGACATGTAGCCATCTTCTAAAGGGTTTCTGAGGCTCTTTTGAACAGTTTTAGACAGGAGTAACTGGATCATGTCTTGAGCTCGGCTGCTGGGAGAGGGAGATGATGCCTTGGGGCCAGACAGGAAAGCCAGATGCAGAGCCCCTGTGGTAGCCCAGACTAAACAAGGAATGTCTGGGTGATCGCAGGCTCTTAAATCCCCTCTAACTTCACACCCTGTGGGACGTGCGTGCAAAGTCATCCAGCACCTGGATGATCATGAAGTTAGGCTATTCCCCAAGTAGGGAATAGGTTTAGCTTTGTAAATGGGAAGAGCCCAAAGGCATCTGGCCTTTGATTCACTCGCCCACCGTGGTTGAATTGACAGCCCTCTGAGCCCCTCACCCCCAGAGGCTAAGCCATGTGCCCCAGGAATTAGCTGCTGGTCAGAGCTGGAGTGAGGTGGCATCCTGGCCTTCAGGGAACATACCCCAGGTAGAAGCACAGGTGGGTAAGAAGGAAGGAGACGGATGCCCTGAGCCCAGGTGATCCTTCTGAATCTCTGCAGTGTAACTGGGCTGTGTTTGTCCTGAATAGTCCATTCGGGCCAAAGTCTGGCAAGACTGACTTGTCCTTTTTCTTCCTTGTTTAGGTTCCAGCTGGGGTGAGAGCAGCTCAGGGAGAATAACAAATTGGCTTGTTCTAAAAAACCTTACACCTCAGGTAAGAACATCAGGTATCCTGGTGGATGGTGTCCTGGTTCCAGGTCGCATGGAAGCGAAGGTTTCCATGCTGGTGTGAGTCTTGAGATGAGGACTGCCCAGGCCTGCTCAGCGGACTGAACAGATGTCAAGGCCTGGCAGAGAATGGTCCTCGGATACCTCAGGCAGGCTGGTGGCCTGATCCTGTGGTTCTTATGCTATGAAATGCATGGGAGCCGATCAAAACCAGAATTCTAGATCTCACCCCACAGACCCTCATGTAGCAGACCTGGGCTAGGACCAGGGGTCTGCATTTCAGGGCATTCAGATGAGTTTAATGCAGGTGGTCCTTGTGCCACATTTTGAGAAACCGTGTCTGCCCGTTTAGATGAGAACATTTTCTTAGTCCCTGGACGACCCCCTCCTCTGGAGGCTGGGTGATAAGAGCCCACCCCCCTCCTCCCCAGGGAGCAGTGCCTTGATGAATCCTGTCCTCAGGGCAGGGAAGAGAGAAGACCTGACGCCACAGCAGGGGCAATGGCTAACTAAGGAATTGGGGATCTGGGGAATACCCAGGAGTCTAGAGGCCACAGAGGTATGGCTCTGGGACCAGCGGAGGTGGGGAGGGAGGCATTGTGCCCCGTGACAGCAGTGAGTCCCAGTGCAGAGTGGCACCAGGAGTGAAGGACCTTGGGCAAGAGAGAGAACCAGAGTCCCAGCCCGGGACCACCTCCCCGGACGGTCCCCGCGGCGGTGCGTCTAACTGGCAGCTCCCTGGCTCTGTCTCCTAGATTGATGGCTCAACTCTGCGTACTCTGTGCATGCAGCATGGCCCACTGATAACATTCCACCTGAACCTCCCACATGGAAACGCTTTGGTCCGTTACAGTTCAAAAGAAGAGGTAGTGAAGGCACAAAAGTCTCTGCACATGTAAGTTGCCCATTCTGCACAGGCGCCTGGAAAATGCCCCTGGGGTCGCAGGTTCAGAATCCTCTTGTTAGGGCCCCCTCAGGCAGCTGGAAGCGCGGCCGGTGACCCTGCACACCACCCCTGGGCAGGCATGTGAGGCCAGGCAGTGAGCACCTCGGAGCAGCTGCGGCCTCCTGTGTTTTGGCTCCAAGGACAGCGTTCAGAAGGGAGCGCATCACCCCAGATCAAAGTGGCCCTAGAAAGTCCCTTAAATTGCCAGTTAGGAGACAGTACGTGATCTTGACTCCTCAACAGAGCTGGGTGGCACGTCTGGGTCTGGAGAGCCCTGGGCGCCGGGAGGGCCCTCGGGGTCCTCGTGTGCCCTGCCCTCTGCTTTTCCCCCTGACTGTGGCTCAGACCCCGCAGCTGGCCCCCCGTCTTCACCAGGCCCGCTTGTGTCTCTCTCCTCCAGGTGTGTACTGGGGAACACTACTATTCTTGCTGAGTTTGCCAGTGAAGAGGAGATCAGTCGTTTCTTTGCACAAAGTCAGTCTCTGACCCCTTCTCCCAGCTGGCAGTCTCTCGGGTCCAGCCAGAGCCGGCTGGGCTCCCTCGACTGTTCCCACTCATTCTCCAGCCGGACCGATCTCAATCACTGGAATGGTGCTGGGCTGTCGGGAACTAACTGTGGAGACCTTCATGGCACTTCCCTCTGGGGGACCCCACATTATTCCACAAGCCTGTGGGGTCCTCCCAGCAGCAGCGACCCCCGGGGAATTAGCAGCCCATCCCCCATTAATGCTTTTCTTTCTGTTGACCACCTGGGTGGGGGTGGAGAGTCCATGTAACAGTGTAGACTAGGCTCACGAACTTCGACCTCAAGCCGCAAAGAAAGGAGCACTAAGTTGGGCTCGCCGCCTGCAGCCAGGGGCCACCTGTGGGAACAGCTATTCTCTGCACATTTTCCACTTTGTTTTCCCTGAAACATATCAGTTTGAATACTTGAATCATGCAGGCCAATATTATAATGTGAAAAGGTATCTATCTATTTACACTCCCAAATAGCGCCATACATGCTAAACCGTATAGAATGAGCTCACTTGTGTATATTCATCATGTTTAGCCTTTGAGTTCTCTTTTTTTTTTCTCCCCCCTTCCTACCCCTCCCCCCCATTCATTCTTCTTCTCTTCTTTTTGCAAACAAGTTTCTTGGGCTGATAATGTATGAGCTTTTAACTTTGCACTGAAGGCTGTTCTCTCCGTCTACTCGGCAATATGGAGAGGGCAGCCGTTCCAGTGTAAATGTTTACTCAAGGATGTTCTTAAGGTGTGCGCTCTCTACTATGCCTTGATGTTTGCCTACCTTATTGTGGTATCGTGGAGTTTAAAAGATCAAGTTATGATACTGACTTAGGACTATAAATGAAAGTATTGCACCAGTTTTTTCATGTTATAAAACTAAAGAATTTCACTCTGCAGTTTGAAAAACTGTGGCCACAGCTGTGACTTGCAGCCCACCTGCCACCCAGGACGGGCCCTGCACTTTGAATAGGCTTTCCATTTTGTTTTGAAGGTTCCCACGTTGAGCCTTCTTGTTTACAGATTTTTTTGTTTGTTTTTTGAGAAAAAAAAATGTTTACTCTTCCATCATTTAAAAAAAAATTAAAAGACAAAAAAAAAATGGAGGATGATTTAAAAGATGCTTTCTATCTCTGGGAAAAAGGAGCAGCATTTGGCCATGTTCTTTTGTTTTTCTATTCCTGTCCTAAATCAAAGAGCATGGTTCTCAGGAAAACCAGTTCCCCAGTTTAAAAAAACAAAAAAAAAAAAACCACAAAAAAAAAAAACTCCTTGTAGTTTCTTATAGGAAAAAAGAAAAACCCCAACTTTTAGCACTGATACTACATATTGCTCTGTTTAAAAATTTTCTCTGCCAAAAAAAAAAAAGAAAGAAAAAAAACAAAAAAATGCTTAAAGCTGGAGTTTGAGATTCTGCTTTCAGATGCTGTCTTTTTATTAGTGAGTGATGATGGTTTGCTAATAATCAATAGGTAATAATTTTTTGTAATCCCATCAAGTGGCTCTCTGTTTCCGCTCTCGTGACTGTGTTAATGTTTAACTGTTGTACCTTAAAGCCGAAATCAGTAACTATGCATACTGTAACCAAGATATTGGGCTTACAGAATTGTTCGTTGTATAAAGAAAATTTTAAATGTTGTTGCAAACTAACGAGTTACACCATTTTTAAAATTTCTTTCTCCCCACCCCCCCCTTTTTTTGCCCACAAATGGTATTATAATGCTTGCTTAGTCAAAGAAGAGAGACTAAACAAGGGTAAAAATTTTAACAGTACAGAATTTGCCATCATTTCATTGCCTTGATTCTAACTGTTTGTGTCCTAAGATGCAAAAGAAGTCAGTGGCTTTTAACTGTTTACAAATAGAATGTGATTGTAAAATGTACAGTTTGGTTGTGTTTGAATTATGAACTTTCTTCAGATATAATAAACCATGACTTTTTGGCTGCTCAACATTAACTGTCTCTTTTTTGTGAATTTATTTGTACGCTCTTTTTTATAACGAAAGTTTCAAAGTTGCTATGTATGAGGGTTCTCATAGAGCAACCGAGTTAAAAAAAAAATCTAAGCAAATATTTGAACATTTTATCCGAACTTATTCACAATTTCACCCTGAAATAATGTGAGAACAATGGGAAACTGTTGCTTGCTCCTTCCTACCCTCTCTGAGCATCTTTGGGATCTTGTTGCTCAAAACTCTCCTGTGACTTCATCTTCCCCACCATTTGTGCCCATCTCAAGCCTCAGCAAGAGACCATTTGGAACATGAAGCTTAATGACTTGACAGTGTTCTAGTGTTAACTCTCATACCTCTGTTACAAAACGAGAAATGCCACAGCCTGGACTGGCCTTTTTCCTCCCCCTTCACGGCCCTCGCTCCTCACTGCAGGAGCTGCGGGGGCAGAACCTGTGTATGTATTTCAGCGTATGACTTCAGATCATGCTCCAACTTGCCAGGTGTAAGCTAATGTTGTTGGACACCTTAATATAAGCAAATGTTGTTCAATGCATTCAATGTATATTGACTTCCATACTGGTTTTTCCAAAAACCAAAGGTAGCTTTGAAAAACCACGTCTGGAAATGTTTGGAACGTTAAGCTGATTGACCTTTTGGGGCTTTGAGTAGTATATAATTGACTTCATAACTGCGTTAATTGTATTGTTAAAGTGTTTGGGAGTTTTTTGCGCTTGTTATGTGGAAATAAAGTGTTTGATTTAAAAAATTAAGAAGTGGTATGGTGTTTGCCTGGTCCTTAAACAGTTCTAGTCCCTAAATGACTGTGTTCCCCCTAAACCTTCCTCAATCTCTCTCAACTGCCCGCGCCTTAGCCTCAATGGTTAGTCTGACCGTGGCATTCCCCTGGCTCAGTGACCTTGAGTCACTAACCGCCTCTGAGAGTTGCTCTAAACATTTTAACGCGTCCAGCCATGTGTTTCCGAATCTAGCTCCCAGGAGCTATACAGCTCCTCCCCTGGACGTGTCCTGGGCTCTGGACATCCTAGCTGCCCCCTGAGGGCCTGCCCAGCACTGCCTTCTCCTCGAAGACAGTAATCCGCTGGGGTCAGCTTGCCTGGACTGGCAGCAAAAATCCAGACTCTGTCCTGTACCAAACTGAATCTGTTTCGGGTGCAATAGAAAAGGATAATTTGGTTTCTTTGCCAGGCAAAGGGGGACACAGAAGGCTGATAACCCTCAAGATTGTGTGTCCCAACCCAGAGTGGGTAGTGAGGAGTTTATTATGAAAGGTTCAAAGAGGGTGTGACCCGCTCGTGAACATTCTTCTGAGGTTGGTGATGAGACAGTTGGGAGTCAGCACCATCAATTTTCTGATTCCGACCAGTCTGGGGTCTGTCTACCTGTTGGTGGGCAGCATACCGTTAACTTCTCCCACCTGAGCTGCCAGACAGCTCAAAAGTCTTCTGTGTGTCCTGTGAGGGGGAACCAGGACCCTGTCCTAAGGCTGCAGTATTGTCTCTTGACTACTCCATTATCTCTGCATCCTCCACCTTCCCTAATTAACAGCTGTTTGGAATTCGGAAGGTTGTGAAGGCTGAATGAAGCCTATTTCCTGCAAACAAGAAATACGGGGTACAGAAAGGCTTTTGTGCCCAGGAGCCCCACTAGGTCTTCCTGCTCAGTTTCACCATGTCACGGAACCACCTGAATTTTCATAGATTTCATAGTTTTAAAAATCAACTCCTTATGTCAGTTTTTTGACAAAAGATGTCATGACTCTGTATGAAAAAATCAGTGCCACTGGCCATAAAAAAGCTATCCAAAAAACAAACCGAAAAATAGATTCAATTCTGGGTGGAGACAACCTGTCAAAGCTCAGGGGGAGGTGTGAAGTCTTTGCAGAGGAGTTGGAGGCACAGCATCACGGAGGACCCACACTTTATAAATGTTTTATTTTTTAATTCATTTGGCTGCACCGGGTCTTAGTTTGCAGCTCACAGGATCTTCAGATGCCACATACGAACTTTTAGTTGAGGCATGAGATCTAGTTCTCTGACCAGGGTTTGAACTGGGGCCCCCTGCTCGGAGTATTAGCCACTTGACCATCAGGGAAGTCCCTGTTTCTCTTTTTAAATTTTATGTTATTTATTTTTGACTGTGCTGGGTCTTTGTGGCTGCGCAGGGGCTTTCTCTAGCTGCACCGAGGGGGACTTATCATTGCAGCATCTTCTTTTGTTTAGGGCGCGGGCTCTAGAGCATGCGGTCAGCATATAGGCTTAGTTGCCCTCAGCATGTGGGATCTCCCAGACCAGGGGTCTAAGCCAGGCCCCTGCATTGGCAGGCAGATTCTTATCCAGTGGACCACCAGGGAAAGTCCTGTTTATTTATTTATTTATTTTGGCTGTGCCACACAGCAGGCACGATCTTAGTAGCCAGAATTGAACACACACTTCTTTTCAGTGGAAGCAGCGCCATAATCACTGGACAGCCAGGGAAGTCCCTTTTTTCAATAATGTTTTTACTTTTTTATTTCTTGGAATACCCACACTTTAGAAATTGCTCCTCGGGGATGTCTGCGGTGTGTACTGGTGGTCAAGGACAACTCCCAGCCTCATCCACTGGGTCCCGCCCTGAGGCCTTGACTCGGCATTCCCTGTCTCCACTGAGAAAGGCTCCCATGACCACTGACGGCCTAGGCAGCTGGAGTAAAACCCATGTCCTTGAGAAGGTGGCATTTGAGCAGATCCCTAAGGGCGTTGAAGCAACAGCCAGGCGTGGAGCAAGATCAGTCCTGCAGGCCGGGAGGGCATCAGTGTGAGCCAGGGACGCAGGAGATCAGCCCGAGGGAAGGTGGGGATAGCGCTTGCTCCTCTGTGGCTGCTTGCTAGCATCACTCGGGAGCTAGAAGGAGGTCCCCACACTCCGGCCCCGCTGCAGACGTGTTTTAAAACCTTGATGGAACCCTGGCCCTTGACTGTAGAAGGGCAGCGTCCTAACCACTGGACCACCAGGGAATTCCCTTCTATATTATTTCTTTTATAACTGTATGTGAATCTACAATTCTCCCAAGAAAAATTTCCATCTGAAATGTAAATTAAGCTCTTTCTAAAGGAGTGATCGTCAAATCATTTTCTTGATGGAGCAGATATTTTTAACACTGCTTTTGGACAAATGCCAGACTTCCTGATTTCTGTCCTTCGGAAAATTAATAGAGGTAAAACTGATTCTTTGGCTGCTATAGAGGATCTTTTTAAAAACTCTGTACCTATTTTTATTTTGGCCTCGCTGTGCAGCTTGCAGGATCTCTGTTCCCC